GCTGATGCAGCTTTGATATTTTTTATGGGCAGCTAAGTTTACACTGTTTCCTTCATGTCTGTATGTGTTACAAGGACATGGGCATTTGCATCTAATTCCAGGCATGTGTAAAGGTGTCGACGGGACGCGGCGTGAGTGAGGCGCTGCTTGGATTCTGAATTATCGTTTTCACTTGAAAGTCATCCACCTAGATGTCGTGCGTTCTTGGGATATTGCATCTGCATCACGATCTGACATGGGTTTATCTGTTAGGCGGCGTCAGAGTATTTTGGACAGTGCTTATGGTGTGCTTTTCTAAGTGCATATGGGACAGGATGTTGGTGACTGGATGAAGTTTGTGGGCTTTGGAGCGCTCTGCTCCTTGTGTAGTGAAAGTTGTCATGCCGATGAGACCTTAAACATTACATTTCTCTGCAATACTGATCTGCTGTCACGCTGACCTCGAGCTGGACCGCGTGTGAACCAATACAACAGCTTCGGCTTCACGAGGCTTTCCATCCGTCATGCTTCGTGTAGACTGCAATACCCGCATCACGCTGCACACCAATACGTCACACGCCTCTGTCGAAGACATGGTGTTGTCAGAGAGCGGCCGTGCCGCACCTACGTCCTTTTTACCCTCAGCTGTCTGCCGTGCTTTTTATGTCGTTGTTTTTTCGGTTTCGGGGCGAACTAAGCTCGCATTACTGCATTCGTATTAGCGATGCTGTGACGTCATCCTGGGAATAAGTGATATAGGGCCAGCACTACGGCGACATGAAAACGCTGTATTGTGGGCTGGGCTCAACATAAAGGTTTCCATTTACCGATTTTTTTTCGACCCCGCACATTCAATAAAACATTTCCAACTTGGAAATGGCGTTGGTTTGCACGAGAGCTACCAAATTATCGCTGAAATGCGCTTCCAGCCTGCCCCGACGGAGACTCATTCACCAGTGATTAATTCCGAAGAGCTGCAGCCGGGACTGCTCAGAAACAGTCCTTAAAGGAGTGCAACAGCAACAACCCTCCCCCACTCTTCAGATTAATGTTGCGTTTAACTTACTTTTGCACCACATTTAACATACCTGCCAGTTTGCCTAGTTCACCAGCCATCTTCCTCAAGAGGTGTCATCTTTTTCGTTTGCTTATTGACCATCGATGGCGTCGCAGCCACGGGCCGACACCGCGCGCCCTATGGCGACTGCAACGCCAGGCGTCGAGACTGTTGTTGATATGACTTGCGAGCTGGCATGTTCAAGCCGTGTTACATAATTTCCATCAGTAATCAGTTCTGACGGAATCTGGAGCATTTTAAGAGGAACATGGATTATCCATGCGGATGCAAATTTGGGACTACATTTCATCCACAACCTGCGTCCAGGAAGTCCTCGATATCTCTGAGACACAAAAAAGCAACATGGAGCCGGAGTCAATGTGACAATTATTGGGCCACCTGCGGCGATCAGGGATGTTGTTGCGCCAGTAAGGGTTTCTGTGCTGATCCAGGGCCAACTGCGCGGGTCAGAAGGCCTTCCGTGTCAGGTAGGGGAACAATGTGGCATCGTGTATCCTTCCAATTGCATTCTGATCGACCAGGAGATCCCGCCCCGTGTCGCTAGAGTGACAACCAAAAAACACTTCGCGATGGGGCGGAATGGCCCTTCAGCCCTTAAGACGGGAACCGGTAATGTGCCCCTGAAATTTGACTCACGGGGCCACTTGCCCGGAAGGAAATACGGGGTCTCATTGTTGAGTAGAGTGGGGTTCTCATAACTGTTGAAGAGTGTGTTGAAATGAATTAAAAAAACGAACATGGTCATCCCATGTTTGCCTAAGGACGTCTACTTTTCAGAATGGATTAGTGAAAAATTACATAAAAGGTTTGAACATGCCCACCCACAACAGAAACTCAAAAAATAGAGATGCCACTTCTACTCTTCCATTTCCACCACCAGGTTCCAGCACCACTTCACGGTGCTTTAAGGGCCAATCCGTTCTTATCATCGGTCTCAAAATCACACACGTAAATATGCGCCCCCCGGATTGCCTTCAAAAGGTAAGACTTATGTCCTGAAGCGTTCATAGGCACTTCTTTCAGAAACGTCATCATTTTTGTACGCCCACTGGCCACGACTCAGTGTTAGCTGCTGGGCCGACGCCGCGCGGCCTACGGAAGCTGCAGCGCCTAGCGTTGAGATTTTTGTTTCTAGGATTTGCGAGCGCGCATGCAAAAATCACGTTACATAAATGGTATCACTAATCGATTCTGACAGGATGTTAACAAGTGCTCGGGTAGGGTTTCAAATTGACACCCGAAGGTTTTCCAGAATGATTTCCGAGCGGCGCGGCGTGGCCGCGCCATACTTTGCATAACTGTAGACAATTAAACAGCGGATCGTTTGGTATCAAAAATTTAGATGTAACTTGTAAGGTTGCTATCATATGGCAGGTCAAACTCGGGCCATGGTTTCAGCGAAGTCAGTTTCCAGGGAATCATTCCATCTGATGCGACAACGGAGTGTTAGACGAGACCATACATCCCTGAGATGCTTTATTTGGCCACACAAATATTGAATAAGCAAATTGCGTTGCCCTTAGGTCAGATATGAAGGTCAGACCATGGTCAATGCTGTATGGGATAGCTTCTGGTGCTCATTTTGAATTTATTGATATCAGGAAACGCATCATAATCTTTCATTGACTTCCTAGAGGTCAGGATAGGTCATTGACCTAAAATTACTCAGCTCAACATTTTGCTTTTAAAAACATACTGCTCAGCGTATTCTATGTCGCTTATTTAAATGCGAAACTAAGAGCGGTCTTGTATGATTCGGTCATCACGACCTTGAAAAGGTCAAACTAGGTTGTTGACCTTGAATGAGCATGCGACCTATTGCTTAGAAACAGTTAGCTAGGTTCTGAGGGCACCTCGGAGACCAACCAGGAATTTGGCCTTCTGTGACCTTTTTGGCCCGAAGGTCATGACCTAGGAGCTTCAAACTTTGACGCAAGTGAGTTGACGTACAGGTTAATACGCCCTGCAAATTTGGTGTCTCTGCCGCTCTTAGTTTCCGAGATCTCAGGGGGGGTCACATTGACCCTCCCACCCGAGCGAAGGTTAACTGGCCGGCCACCCGAGCGCGTGTTAAATATTTCCAGACTAACATGGTTTGGCCATGTTAATACACATCAATCACCACTTAATCTGCAACCAAATTTCCATCACTAAATTTCGATCAAGCATATCGATCAACAGTCGGCTTTCGCGATGTCCTTAATGTCTGTAGAACCCAGATGAAACATTCTGGCAATGCCTGTAAATACTATCGGTTTAAAAAGAGCCCACTGAAGCCATCAAGCCCCACAGCCCATCAAGGGAGCCGATGATTTGTTCCATCGGTCGTTTAACGCCTAATTTCTGCAGTTTATTACGTCAAAATACAAATCAGAATTGATCTCACGGTAGCTTCTGGCTTCTGTTCTGATTGCAAGGTAACGATAACGATACAACGAAGAAAACCGTATCCCATGTTAACAAGTAAGCTATATCCGGGGATTTTGGGGGTCACCATAAGAGGGGCATTTGTCAACCGTGTGCTACCCCTTGGCAAGGCTCTGGCCACGCCCCCGCCTACACACAGAAGCAGATCAAATCGTCTAACTTAAATGATGGGCAATTCACTGTACGTTGGGCCCATTCGTACATAAGGCAGGCAGCTTCCCGGAGGTTTTTCTGGGGTGGTGTGGTGTAAGGAACAATAATTCGGAAAAAAGATACTGTTGCAGGTGCCCAACATGTTTCACGTACCAATTAGCAGCAATGTTGATCCAGAAATATGCAACAAAACAACCAAACAATAAGTTCACAATCAGTCATGCGGGAGATAGCCGGCCCTGGACAGTGATCGTCGACGACGCGCCGTCCGTGGACGGGAGAAAGGGCTCAGATCAGGGATATGTGACATAAGGGCCCTCATTCTGTGGCTTGGTTGTTAAAGGAGAACCTCCAGTTTTATACTTTTGTCACCCTGTTTTTTGGCAGTTTCAAGCTGCCGAGTTTGTTTTCGCCTAAAATGCTGCGACAAGTCTTATCTCTTGAAAAGCAGCCAGCAAAATGACGGCGCAATCTGTCGCACTCTACCCCATCGATGCACATTAAAAATTCTCACCAGCATATGCCCAGGCCGTATTTTGGCATCTACCCTGTGAAGGCAGATGCCTCGTCAATGACCCAAAGTGCCTGCCCGCTTATGGAATTTCGCGTCCCCAGGAAAGACAATGTTGAAATGGACGAATAATCTTGGGAATTTAGATAGTCTTATTTGCCGAATGGTATAGATGAGTCGAGTAGGCAGGATTGCACACCAGTGAGAGACAGCTCTAGGTGCATATCTAGCACAGCAGTCATGCCATTTGAATAGAGAGCGATAGCAGCCTCCATCACTAGCCCCCCCCCCCCTCCCCCCCCGGGTCATCGGGCTTGCTTTCCAGAAAAGCTCCTGAAGCACGCCCTGAGGTTGGCCCCCCACTGATTGAAACGTTCATACGCCTATGTCTGCAAGTTAACCACCAGCTTGGAAGATCAAAGCACAGGAACAGCAAAATGCTTGACACCTTTCCTCTTCACATTGTCTTATCTTTACATTGCACCCCATATGGGCTATGGAGTACGGAGATACATGGGCAATCATTGACTGTTAATGAATTTGATATTAATATTTCATATGATATTCAAGTTTGAAATACGAAATGTACAAGATCTATTCACGTAACAATCAAATACAGATGTAGAACAGAATTTCCAACCAGTTCATTGATACAATTTTCATTTTTAATCATGTGACCAGTATCTACCAACCCTTACGTAGTATCAACCAAAAACCATACCACGGGCTTCCAAATGTTAGTCCATGGTAACTTCACGTTCGCGTAGCCTTTTACTTTGGGAGCCTTGGGTATGAATTAATACACATTACGTGCGGCGCTTATACGTTCAACCTCTAACTACATGGATAGCGTGCAAAAGTCGATTCATCCTAACATGGTATAACACCTGTCTTGCAGCACATAACAGTAGCCTCCCCGATGGGTGCTGATGCATTTATTCCCGTACCTTCTGATCAGCCGTGCATTAAACAAATTTTTTGAGACCGTTTCCGTAACTTCGTTTTTGCGCTTAAAGCATCCGCACGCATCGCGGATGTATGCCAGCTATGCTCAGGCTTGTGAATCTGGCGTACAATCAGCCATATGATCTGGTCATCACACAATAAAGGTCAGAACATAGGCCTTGCGGCCAACGCATGCCGATCACGCATCAGAAAGTGTACCCAAAGGAAGACATCTTGTAAACTGACGCGTTCTGTAAGCGCATAGACTAGGTTGACAATCAGGCACATCCATGATGTCTCTTAAGTCACAAGTCACGCCACAATTAAAGGTTACAACACAGCGCCTTGGTGAAGCGGCTTATAACAGACATAAGGATGCAAGGTGAAACAATCCTTCGTGAACTAGGGCCTCGGGGAACTTGGTCTTGTCCATTGCTACACAGTTCTTGCCCTCTTCCCACTCGTCAAGGTAGTCGGCCAACACATCATTTACGTCTGTCGTGGGCGTCCCATCTTCCCAGACGTAGGTTGCGTTCTCGTCCTGCAGTCCAGTCCAGTAGACGGCGTCTCCAGCCCGGAGCAGGAGAAAGGTCACCAGACCTGTGTTATGGACGGACACCAGCTCGGCGTCCATCTCATGACAGCCGTGTGCGGCGACAGCCCAGTACTGCTCGTCCTCCGTGAACAGGTAGCACGTGTCGTTGTACGCCACCCATTCCGTCGAACCGCAGGGTGGTGCGGTGGTGGTGGGAGCAGCGGTCGTTGTAACCGTAGTTGTCGTTGGTTGGGTCGGTGGCGTCATGTCCTGGTAGCAGACGTACGCAGCTGGCGTCGTGTCTTCACCTAAATGGAAGAGTCCGTCCTCGGCCGAAATGTAGCCGTAGGTGATCTGCGCTGTGTGGCTCTTATTATCGAAGAACTGGTCCAGCTGGTGGTTGTAAGCGGTGCCATCCAGCCAGCTCCTCTGCCCGGCGATGTTCAGCAGGCCGGTCCACGCGTCACGTGCCGTCTGCCGCACCCCGAACGCCACCGCGTAGAAGGCGATCACGGACGGCACCGAGGCCAGGCTAGCGTTTGCAATCTGACAGGCCAGATGCGCTGCGCCCCAGGCCAGCGGCTCGGCGGCCGGGTCATTGGCGCTCAGGTAGTAACAACGGCTGTCGCCCGCCTCCAGGTCTACCCAGCCATCGGCGGCCGGACACGCGACCGACGGCGGCGTACGAGACGTGGGCGGTGCCGGCGTAGTTGGCGAAATAGACGATGGGGCTGGCGAGTGTGTTGATGACGGAGTCGATGATGTTGGCGGTAGAGTAGATGTTGTCGACTCAGACGTTGAAGATGTTGGCTCAGGCATGGAAGGCGTCGGTTTTGCCGTAGGAGTTGATGGCTCAGAGGTTGTGGGTGTCGGTCGAGATGTGGTTAATGGTTCAGCAGTAGTGGATGATGCCGGTTCAGATGTTGAAGATGTTGGCCCAGACGTAGAGGACGTCGATTGTGACGTTGACGATGTTGGTTCAGACGATGAGGATGTTGGTTCAGGTGTGGTTGATGGCTGGGGTGTTGATGATGGTGGTTCAGGCGTAGAGGACGTCGATTGTGACGTTGAAGATGTTGGTTCAGACGATGAGGATGCTGGTTCGGGTGTGGTTGATGGCTGGGGTGTTAATGATGTTGGTCCAGGCGTAGAGGACGTCGATTTTGACGTTGAAGATGTTGGTTCAGACGTAGAGGACGTCGATTGTGACGTTGAAGATGTTGGTTCAGACGATGAGGATGTTGGTTCGGGTGTGGTTGATGGCTGGGGTGTTGATGATGTTGGTTCAGGCGTAGAGGACGTCGATTGTGACGTTGAAGATGTTGGTTCAGACGATGAGGATGTTGGTTCGGATGTGGTTGATGGCTGTGGTGTTGATGATGTTGGTTCAGACGTAGAGAACGTCGATTGTGACGTTGAAGATGTTGGTTCAGACGATGAGGATGTTGGTTCGGGTGTGGTTGGTGACTGGGGTGTTGATGATGTTGGTTCAGGCGTAGAGGACGTCGATTGTGACGTTGAAGACGTTGGCTCAGACGTGGAAAATGTTGGCTTGGTTGTGATTGATGTTGGCTTCAGCGTGCTAGTCGTGCTCGACGGCGCTTGGCACACCAGTGGATACATATAATCACAATCCAAATTGATAAGTTTAGAGTTATGTCTTTCATACATCCCACACTTCCAGTATTGCGGGGTTATCGGGTAACCATCAACCCATGTGACGTCCTCAAGCACCGATCCATCGGACCAGACCCAGACGCTGCCGTAGATATGGTGGTCGGCCCAATACAAGGTATTTGAGCCGAACTGCTTCAGAAAGTCGGCGTTGCTTGCTGTGGGCCGCGCGAGAAACGCCCCGAGTTGTCGACAGTGGTTGAGAGCGGCATTCCATTTCAAGCGCATGGGCACCAGCAGATACTGGTATTCGCCGTACTGCACCCAGGCACCAGCTAAGCCATGTCCTGGAAAGCGATTGCCGGTCACGTCTCGTGTCCGTGAAGACAACAGTTCAACGTTGATGCACGCATGGATTTTCGCGCACCGCAACAGTCTTTGCTAAAAATCAGCATATGGACTAAATGATCGGAGGTCTTCACCGATCGTCATTACCTGTCATAATTTTAATGAACAGTACATAACACGCGCTCGGGTGGGGATCAAATTGCCCCCCCCCCCCCAGGTTTTTTCCACAATGGTTTCCAACGGCGCGGAGCAGCCGCGCCAAAGTTTTCATAGCTGTAGACAATTGGATACCGGATTGTCTGACAAAACAATTTAGATGCATCTTGTAACGTCACTCGGCTATGGTAGGTCAAAGACAGGCCACGGTTTCAGCGAAGGCAATTTCCGGGAATCGTTCAATCTGGTCCAACAGCGGAGTGCTAGACGAAGCCATACATCTCTGAGACGCTTTCGTGGGGAACATAACAATTGATGAGCAAATCACATTCGCCCAGGATCAGACCAAGGCCAAAACCAATCTGCTTTATTACTCTAGGGCTTGGTGTATGGGGTATTTTCTGGCGCCCAATTCGAGTGTATTGAAAACAGGAACCACATTACACACCTTTCATAGACTTATTCAAGGTCACAATAGGTCACTGACCTAAAATGACGCAGGTCAACATTTTGTTAATTAATAATCTTAAAAAAACCCGGCGTAATCTTAGTCGCTTATTCAAATGCGAAACTCATTGCAGTCTTGCATGATGTTCGTTACCATGACCTTTAAAAGGTCAAACAAGTCGACTGACCTTAAATGAGTATGTGGTCTTTTGCTTAGAACAACTATCTAGGTTTTAGGGGTCCTTTGGAGACCAACCTGGAATTTGACCCTGTTTAACCTTATTTGATTCGAAGGTCATGACCTAGGAACCTCAAACTTTTCCTAAGTGAGTCCACGTACAGGTCAAAACGCCCTATGAATTTCGTGTCTCTAGCTCTCCAACTTTCTGAGGTCTCAGTGGGGAGGGGAATCATATTGCCCCTTCGAGCAAAGGGTATCCAACCAATCAACCGGGCGCGTGTTAAATTGTCTAGTATTGCCTGGCCAGAATGGGGTGACGTATCAAAGGCAATTCCATGCATGCCATTCATTGTTGGAAATGGCTCCGGACGAAACTCAGTAATATCATTTTGTTACTCTGGATTTGTCTTTATTTTGCAACCATATGGATGAACCCACGCAGGTGCAATAACAATAACCGTGCTTTAACATGTCAGGAGTCATTGAAAGCCGTGCAAAATACCCAACCAAGTTTTATGGTGAAGATCTCATGTTCCGACTTGAGTTCGCCAACAGGATCACTCCTAACTCGATAATGAGCCTGAGGCAATCACCTGTAGCCGGTGAGGAACGTCTGTAGTGCGTGAAACTCACCAACGAGCATCAGCAGCAGGCCAGGGAGCGCCCTCAGCGCCGGCCGGTGGCTGCGCGGCATGTTGAGCTGCGCCAGCGACGTCAGCACGAGTGTCGCCCTCCCGGGCCGCCGCCACCGTTGCCGGCGTGGCTGCGATCCGCGCCAGCTGTCGCACGCCTCCGGCCGTGCCGAGCTGCAGCGGTATCGGCCTGCCGCCGCTCCGGTCGGTGGAGGCTGCAGCTGGGCGGAGAGGGCTGACGTCTGGGCCCGGACGTGCGCCGCGGACGCGCCGCCGCCACCTGCCCCGCTCTCAGACCACCCGAGGCGGCACTGGCAGAGGCCCATGGTCGTGCCCTTCGTACTCGTGCCCACCCAGTGGCGGAGGCGCAGAGCGCTCACCCGGTATAATGAACAAGCGGCATGCATACTCCGCTGTTGTCGGGCTCACGAAGCGGCGTGCATACTACGCTGTTGTCGGGTTCACGAAGCGGCGTGCATACTACGCTGGTGTCGGGCTCACGAAGCGGCGTGCATACTACGCCGGTGTCGGGCTTACGAAGCGACGTGCATACTACGCTGTTGTCGGGCTCACGAAGCGGTGTGCATACTACACTGGTGTCGGGCTCACGAAGCGGCGTGCATACTACGCCGGTGTCGGGCTTACGAAGCGGCGTGCATACTACGCCGGTGTCGGGCTTACGAAGCGGCGTGCATACTAGGCTGTTGTCGGGCTCACGAAGCGGCGTGCATACTACGCTGGTGTCGGGCCCACGAAGCGGCGTGCATACTACGCTGGTGTCGGGCCCACGAAGCGGCGTGCATACTACGTTGGTGTCGGGCTCACGAAGCGGCGTGCATACTACGCTGGTGTCGGGCTCACGAAGCCACAGCGAGCTGAATTCGAAGCCGGCGTTGAACGCGCGCTCGAACGGCCGGTTGCATGCGACGCGCTCAGATGGGGGAAGAAGGGGGGCAATCTCATAGGGTCGTGACCCTGGGGTCATTAAGGTAAAAATGCCTAGCTCGAGATCAGGGTTACGAAGTGTCCTCAGGCTTCATCACGCAGCCAATTTTAACCTAGTCACATTTTTTAACCAAAACGCCACTCGTGCTTAGAAGAAGACATTAACATTTGGGAGGCCAGAATGACCGAAATCCTGCCAAATTGTTTTCTATTTAAACTTACAATCGGCAAAGTTAAATACAATAGCCGACAGGCTCCTCAAAGCAAAACGTTGATCAAGTCTATGTCATACCAAGGACTGCCCCCCACCGCTATGAGGTTATGGTAAGGAACCTGTTGCTATTATCGTGACCATATAATAAGAAATGAGTGCCAAAAACTATCCCTAGAGCAAGCTTTTCAATGCAAATGTGGTTTGGTTTGGACCATCATCTGATCTTTACACCAGCCACAAGGTTGATGGGATTACCTGCAATCCTATTTTCAGTCGTTTAATCATCTACAAGATCATCTCATAGTTGAATGCCAGTGTATGACACTGCTGCCGCATCACCTCGAAAGATTGCCCACGAATTACCTCCGCTGGCAGTCATGACCTGTCTTCGGCGCGCTAGCAATCAGCGGCCTTATGAGGTATACCCAATCTTTATGCCAAAAGATGAACTATCCGATTGCCTACAACCATTCAAAGTTTGGCAAGTCAGCTCTTCGCCATTCGCAAGTTATTCTGGAACAAAATCGGAAAGGTCCAATGGACCCGCACCCACCTATCTAGCCGCGAGTCGAACCCCGTGCTGACGAGGCTACGCGACAGCTTAATGTTGGCAGGGACAGGTAACGTCCTTTGTTGCCACGACCTGGGCTCTGGTCTAGACGGCGTTCCGTGTAAAGCAAGGGCGGAGCAACACATTTCCGGGCGGTGGGCGGGATTGGCTCTTTATGCGCAGAGCAAGGTGTCCCTATGACTAAGTCCTCTATCATACTGACTGCGGAAGCCCCCCCCCCCCCCCGGCCCTGATATAGGCCTCGTGCCGCATGTTGGCTCTGCACTGCTTGAGATCCTTACATTACTGGAGCCTCTTACCACTCATAAAAGCACATTGCACAATCATGTAGCACAATCACTCGCGACCATACCAATCCTTTCATAGCTGGGGTCTCGTCCCAATAGTTACATTTGTACCTGGTCATGTGCAAGCCTTCCGACCACACCACTGCCGCTGGTCGCGTGCGTTATGACATCAGGCCTACTTTGGCTTTTCAGGACCTCCCTAGAGCTCCAAGGTGGGAAAAACATGTGTTCACCCGCTGTCACCAGGCAGGGTGGGCGACTGCAGCTGTTGGCGACTTGGTGCTGAGCTTTGCAAGAGCAGTGATCAGCGATTGCGACTGTTGGTGACTTGGTGCTGGGCTTTGCAAGAGCAGTGATCAGCGATTGCGGCTGTTGGTGACTTGGTGCTGAGCTTTGCAAGGGCAGTGATCAGCGATTGCAATGCATGTGATCCATTAAAATGCTAAAGTCAGGCTCGTAATAATTTGGGTCTGGCTAAAGCAATATAACGTCGGTTTTTCCCGACCGTTAATTGGTGCAGAGACTGTAGGACACCCATATAGCGGACTAACCGAAATGATAACGCTACCAGCGGCTCAAAGATGTGATTTCACCAAGTGGCAGGAAAGAAACTAGCTAGAAATTCACCTGACGTATTGCACGCAATGGTCCTAAGCGACACAAGCAGTGTTGAGAGACGCAAAACATTACCAGGTCTGAGCGATGATAAAGCTGCAGTCATACATCCAAATGCATGATGTGCCACACCTGTTTTGCTATGAACTCCCTGATTCTGTTCCCCACAGCTAGGCAAACGGCCTCCAGCAAAGAACCCGTAGTTTCGTACCAACCCTTCGCTGTTTGGTTTTTCCAAACGATCCGGATACGGTCGCTGAATTTCGTGGAGCTCGTTGTCAGTGAGGCGTGGCGTTTGCTATCGCTTCACGGGGTTCCGCTGTACGCCACGTGCTTCGTTTCCCAGGCGACCGATGTCGGCGTAAGCCCTAGGCACCTGTCTACCCTATCACTCCTCCAGTGCAGCACATCTGTGTAATAGGCGTGCTGCGTCTTTGGGTCCTTGTTGCGACAGCTGCGCGTCTGGTGGCGTTAGCCCTGAATTGCAATGGTAATTTTGAAGACCTGGAACTCGGCGACAACAAGTGCTATTTCTTCAGCAGCAAAACTGGTGACGAGGCGACCTGAACGACGCCTTACGCGACCTGCTTGAGGGAGCAGGGCACCCTCCTGTCTGTAGTGGACCCGCTGCACTTCTACCCCAGAAACCAGATTACCCCGCCAGAAACCAGATTGCGGTGGATGGAGAATGGTTGCGTTCTGGTACCAAGCTTAAGGTTTCAGCCAAGCTCAGTCCAGTCGTGAGTGATTTGGCCATTGCTGTTCGTCGTCTTGAGGGTGGTAGATGACATTAAAATGGCTGATTTTTAGTCGTGCGCTTTCACTAAGCTTAGTGCAGTCTCCGGAAGGTCGGATCAAGAATAACATCCCCATGGCTTTATATCGTAAACTGCAGAACGTGCTGAGCAGTCGACGATTGCATGCTGCAATATTCTAAACATTTCTTTGAAGTGTGGAAAATCTAGCTGGCGCCGAACGACATGATATATCACGCTCTTCTCGGTGCTGACATCGGTGGTGCAAATCGCAGCCTCTATTTTTCATGGCAGCATAATTTGGGCTAGAAAAACAACTAGAAAACATATTTTCATTGCACCCTGCTGGTGCTGCAGTAACACCACCCAGCGGTGTTACATATTACACTTCATGGCCCTGGGATTTCGCTAGAGTATGTTTTTGAAATATATCCCCAATGGTGGGACGCCCCCTTTAACGCAGCATTACCATTGATCTTGGAATTTTGTATTGGAGTCGGATTCATTGTAACGGGTGGAGCAGGAGAGGAGTTGTAAATAGTCAAAAGTACTTGAATTATTGATGGACGGCCCCGTATCTGATCTTCATTGCTTTTAATAACGAATGAAAGGGAATGTTCCACATCTGAAAGTATCAAAGCAAGCATCAGATACCATGAAACAAGCTCACTTGCAACTATTGGCGTACTTTTTAAGTGGAGAAGACTGCTCTAGACAGCACAATTATATTTAGGGAAATATGCTCTTCAATGCGTCATGATTTGATTACGTCATCTTACCTTGCACAACATTGATTGAGAGCCAATTGAAGGCCGTCATATCTGAAAATCGCGCTCACGAACACCAGATATGAACGCCCTCGAAAATTGTATTTTTCTTTGCCTTGATCACCGTATGGGTTATAGAATAACAGGATTCGAATGGCGTTGTTATCACGCCATGAATGACGAGGTGATCTTTATAGCACTCTCCCCAATATACTTTTCCTCATTTTCGCGCGCGCAGTAGCCCAGACAATAGAGGGACTTAGGTCTTTAGAAAGGCAGGAATGTGAACAGCTCCATAAGGTGTTCAAGAATGGGTACTTCGGTTCAAAATCCCATATAAATGTGGAACACCCCTTTAAGCTGCCCGCCAACGTAGCTATCTGGTAGCGGAGTCATTGGTTGCCTGGTGCGCCATAAGATGGTGTGCGAGTCGACGCGCGCCAGGAAGGCTGAGAGCAGGTAGCAGCTTTGGCTTCGAACGACTCTGTTTAAGTAGCTGAGCCGACCTAAAACAATTGATGACATTGCACGTGGATAAGCGCAGCATACCCTTCCAAGTACTTTGCTGCACTCCCGTTTTCGCCCGGAGTGACCTTTCTGCACTATAATATCCGAGCGGCGCGCTGACATTACAGACAAGTACCACATAGCACGTCAGCCTCCCACTTTCATCATTCTCGCTTAATCCTGAATCCTCGCGACAACCCGTTTGAACGGGGCAGGCTCTCCATACACCAGCCATGAGTGGGCCCAAGTGCATCCTGGTGGGAGCCCCTCTAAGCACCGAGCACGAACCTCGAACACGGGTCCCTGTGAGGATTCAAACTGGATAGATGGATCTCCAGGTACGTATAGTTATACCTCACCACTATCTACTCTCCTTCATCCCACAGCCCTGAGATGGTCCTCTCTAGACGAAAGGGCTCACTTCAAGCGTGTTCAATCCATCTAAATACGTTTCTGATCTTGGAACAATGGGGCGATCTCTCTCCATCGGTGTGACACCCAGTATCCTTAAGATTTGACGGATTATGATCATCTAGAGTGCTTGCTATGAGGTATACTGTACCACTGAAGATCGGAAGAAGCTCTTTGTGGCACGAGGGCACTTTCAAGCTTGACAGCCCAGTGACGTCAGCGGGAATGGCTCAGTTTTCACCCCATGTACTTATCTGTTGTGATATACGATACAACACGCACAAAGAGGCCTTTGGTTCGAGGAGGCTTCTGTTATGCTAAGGGGCCGCGGCTGCCTGTGCTCTGCCTGGCTGCTATTACACTCATTTATGTTCGGTGGGGTAGCCAGGATTTCGCCCAGGAGGGAGCCAAGTCGAGATATAGAGAAGAGAGCCAATTCGGCCAAATGGACCTCAGTTTGTTGTATAATAGGGGTCTTATTTCGTATTTTTGATTCGAAGCAGCTTCATATGCTTGTGATCAATTTTGTTGCATCGAAGACCCTTTGGATGCCTTAGAGGCTTTACGAGCGTGCCCGGGTGGCCGGTTGAATACGCGCCGCTCAGGCGAGGTCGTTTTGACCATGTTGAAATCTCACGAATGAGTGAAGCTAGAGACATGAAATTCGCAGGATAGATAAACTTACTAATGAACTAGTTAAAGTAATAAGGTCAAACGCCCGATGGCTGTCAAAGTGCCCCAAATCTCCTTAAACATTCATCTTTAACCTAGATAAGTCTTCTAAACAAAGGGTCGCCGGCCTTAATTGCAGGTCAATGACCTTACTTGATCTTTCAGGGATTCTCCATACCAAAAATCTGCGAAACTGTTCTGTTTTTTAATTTCATTAAGCATCAAGGATTACGCCAGATGGCATGTTTGCAAAAAAAAAGATTGATCAGGACCATTCCGGGTCAGTGACCTCTTGTGACTCTTATGAAGTTCAGGCAACACATTTGTGGGCGTCCCTGTTATTTCTAAATTCAAAATGAGCGTCAGAAACTATCCCACAAAGCAAAAGCGCCTCCGGTAAGAAAGACATTCTGTTTTTGACCTTGATCTGACCCTCATATCTGACCGAAGGTCAATTGAATAAGTCTGTATCCTGAACTCAGTTATTTAGTTGTCAAACCAAACAGTTTTAAGATGTGTGGCTTCGTTTAAAACATCGTTGTCACATCAAATTGAATGCTTCCTTAGAATTTAAATGCCTTCTCTGACATCATGGCTTGATTTTGTCCGGCCACAGCTCCGCGATCTTGCAAGGCGCATCAAATCTTTTAATACAGAAAGACTAGGAGTTAAATCGGCAACAGCTATGCACAATTTGGCATGTTAACGCCGCGCAGTTCAGAAGTTGCTTTGGAAAAATCTTCGTTGGTCGCATTGATCCTCCACCCAAAAGTATGCACAACCACAAAAAAGCAAAAAAACACTGAGACCCTTGGCCCCAGGGTGCTCCCACCATCTCCAGGTGAGCTATGGTCTCATAATTTGCCATGAACTTTTTACGCCACTGGTCATGTTGTGATATGGGCGAATGGTTTGAACAGCACGCGCAGAGAGTAGGATTTTAAGAAAGACACATGGTTAGACACTTCACAGCAAAAACTACCCGGCAAAAACAAAGCTATGCAGGAGCGTGAAAACTGCTTTATTATCAGAACACTGAAAACCGAAGGCATTTATTGATGCCAGCTTCGCAGGATTTCCAGAGACGGACCAGGCCTCGAAAGGCGCGCTAACGTCACACAAGTGCCGCGGAGGGCGGCAGTTGCGGCCCTGGCACCGGCTTCACGTCACATGGGGCCTGCAGTGGGCGGGCCTCATGTGATGCCGGCCATGGCCCCGGCTTCACGTCACATGAGGTCTGCAGTGGGCGGCAGCTACGGTCGCCGGTCCCCGCCCGGGCGGACCCCGGGCCCGGTGTTCCGTTGGGTACTGCGTTGCTCAGTTGCCGTTCCGCTGAGTAACGTGGCCGGCGGGTGCGGGGCGAGGCTACTTTTTACTTTTGATGCAGTGCAGGCTGCCGAGGCTGGCCAGGCACATGCGCGCCGCCTCCTGGCACAGGCTGAGGTCACGATTGGGCCGCACCACCAGCTCCCGACACTGCTCGATGAACCGGTAGAACAGCCGCAGCGCCTTTCTCGGCTCTCCTGTTGGGCAGCAGCGACGTCATGCACCTCTCTAACGCTTTGGCAAGGTCACACACCAGTCATACCACCCACCTCTATGCAGGTCTTTCAAGATTTAGTTGTACGGTATTGAACACTAAATTGCCAGTCTGGAATGGCATCACGGATGAAATGATTGTTCGGAATACCGTATCTGCCTAGTGCGTTGGTAAGTACACAGCGTTTCGACAAGCTAGCTCACCGGCCGTCATCCGGTGTTAGGGGTCCTGAGAAACATTGCATAGTGTTCGGCTATTAGTCATGTACGTGTCACAGCCCGCTTCTGGTTGCGACTCCAGTCCTCTATCAACTGCGCTATCCGTGAGAAACGATCTTGCGGTGCTAGGACTTGGTATATATATATATATATATATATATATATATATATATATATTTATCTCCTGCATATTTGGGAATTTTTCGCAAGGATGGTTGCCAGACTGGGCTGATAATCATTGACCTGATATGCACATTTGGCTTACTGATGGGTTGTCTGCCAATGTCACGCATCTTCCGCACACCACCGACAACCGCCACATCTCCACATTCAGCAAGCAGTGCGAGGCCGAATGCAACAGTGCATTGGGGCCATCATCGCCGGTAAGAATACCAGCACCAGTAAGCTCCCAGACATCACCCCTGACATCTAGAACCAGTGCGCTGACGGCTGCCGCTGTCGCCGAGTCGAGACGGGCCGACACCGATGCTGGCTTGCGAGCCAGGCTGCCTCGGTTGGTGGCCTGTTAGTTCCAGGTCCAGCTAGTGCTTCTTGAGGGGTTCCAACGCACAGTGAGCGACATGAGCAGCAGCCGTGCGTGAGGTACTCATGGACTGTCTGTGCGCTTCGTGAAATTGTGTTTTCCACTGACGAGCACGTGATTCTGTCTGCTTTCAAGATCACCGTCGTCAGTGAAACCAAACCGGAGTCATGGGTGCTGGCAATTATTCATACCGTTCACAAGTCCTCGGGTTAAAGGGGGTGTGTCTAATATTTTCTATTTTCTCAATACTCGCCTAAGGGGAGTTTGGCAATTGGCTATGGTTGAGTTTGGTCGCTACATGTGCATTTGGGTCTCGCAACAGTTTTGATTTATTTATTCTTATCGATCCCATCTGTAGCTGTGCGCGCACAAATGCAACCCTAAAAAATACACCAATCAGCGGGCAGGAAAGGACGAATGCACTGGCTTATATGTGGCGAGAAGCCGCGCGCTAGAGACATGGCCATTGATTTGGTTGCTAAGCGACGTAGAACAGTCACATTTCGCTAGAGCCTCGTGCAGCCGATTGGCACGACGCAATACTTGTTTCTCATCTCAGTGCATAGTAGGCCGACGTAATTTGGTGCGTATCAACTGACCAGCCTTACCATACGTCTAAACCCGTACACTCGTAGCCATCAACTGAATGTAAAAAATCGACATACTAGCCACTGCCATCATTGCGTTCGCAAGCTGCTGTCAGCGCTGACAAGCGACTTCCCCGAAAAGCCATTGGCTAGAGCTAATGATACATTCTCAATGATGTTGATGTGATTAGTATTGACTACTGCTTGGGGGCTACCCGATAATTTCATTCTTCCATAGAAACCAAAGAAAATTTGGGGGCTGTAACAAAATCTCGTCAGTGGAGGCAAGTTTGTAGAAACCAATGACACCAAGATTTGTAAATCGAAATAACCTATCATCCTACGTACAGTCAAAATTCTAACTTGACTGCACATAGTCCCTTTAACTTCGACGATCTGATTAACTTCGGGCCTATTTCGATTGTTCCTTGCCGCGCCCAAATTAGTAAACACGTCATTCATCAACAGTTTTTGTCTTTCTTATCTAACAATCGTCTGTTCTGTAGTGTTCAGCATAGATTTCGTCGAAGAAACTCGACAGAAATCAAGGTGATTAGGGTCATGGATTACATCCTTGGATCTTTGGATGGACAGACAAAATGGCTTGCTTAACCTTACTTGACTTGACTTGTAAGCGTTTTGGTGTTGCTAGCGATTACAAACTCATTGAAAAATAATATTTCTGTGGTGTCCACACATACTGATACAACAGTCACTTCCGAGACCACTACCAGCAAGTACGTCCCATTACACAGGAGAAGGGTCCAATGATCTCCGATAGACGATCCGACGATTCAGCCCCATTGGGTTCTATCATAGTACTGCTCTGAGACCGCTGACCTACACCATTGGTGCGAACGACATGGGTCACACGAAGAGTGACGTTTTCATTATCCAATACGATGACCATATTCAGACTTTGATTCGGTCATAAGTCTGACCTGGCGCGGGTTGTTCAACGCATTTAATGTGCCCTCTTAATCTCGTTTGGCTGGTTCAGCCAGACGATGATGAAAGCAAACACCGACAAGACAATATGTCTTGTATCTGGCACCCGTCAGATAACGCACGGCCTTTCCCGCGCCACACTCCAAGCCTGCAGCACACGCTTGCAGAGATGGACACTGCTAACAGCCCGGGCGCACTGTCCGACAGAAATCTTTCTTTTGAGCCCCACGATGACATCGTGCGTCGGTGCAACGGTTTGCTGATCGCATTGTTCCACGCTACGCACAGGCTGCCAATAGAATTAATACCCACTGTCATCAGTGGTACTGTTTTCTCCATTGTACAGCACTGAATTTCCGCCTACGGCAGCGCATCGAAACAACCAGTGCAACGCATTCCCGAAGTCTTTGATTTCTTCACGCGGAAAACATGGGGCCGACGAAACTACGACCATATCACTGACGTGCTTTCGTAACTAGGCTGGCTGTTCGCCCATAACCAATGCACCTATTGGTGCGTATGCTTTCTGCGACAAGCACTGGTCACTGACGAACCAGTCGTAGTCGCCCAATCCGTAACGCTCACTAGTCAGGCGCATTAGAGGGGTACCGCGCCAGCGAACAGGAACTGTATACATGCGTGAATGGTATGCATATAGGCTGTGCCCAGGTTTGTTGCGGAATGAGTGCCAGTTCGATGTGCTGTTTGCGTGCTATCCTCACCAATGCAGTAGTCCGTTATCGACTGACTTATGCTGGTGAGAATCTACCAGAGTGGAAGCCACATAATGCTGCAATTAACAGGCGCTCGGGCGGGGGTCAACTCGACCCTCAAAGTGTTACCGGCATGGTTTCCGAACGACACGGCGTAGACGCACCAAATTCTGCATAGCTGTGGGAAATTGAATTGCGGACCGTTTGACATCACAAATTTAGGTATATCTTATATGTTTGCTGACCTACGACAGGCCAAAGTCAGGCCACGGATTCACCAAAAGTCAATTTCTAGGGAATCGTTAAATCTGATCCAACAACGGAGTGTTAGAAGAAGCCATACATCCCTGAGTTACTTTCTTAGCCAAGAAAAGAATTAAATCAACGGATTCCGTTGAGTTAGGGTCAGGTATGAGGGTCAAACCCAGGTCAAGACCAATCTGTTTTATTTCTCCACTGCTTGGTGTATGGGGTAGTTTCTGGTGCTTATTTCGAATTTATTAATAACGGGAGCCGCATGATTTATCTTTCATGGGGTTCTTAAAGACCAGAATAGGCCACCGCCCTGAAATGGCCAGGCCAACATTTTGCTTTTAAGAGCATACGATCTAGCGTAATCTTTGTCGCTTATTCAAATCCGAAAATTAAAGCAGTCTAGTATGATTTTGGTCAACATGACATTTTAAGAACAAACAAGGTCACTGACCTCATATGAGCATGTCAACTTTTGCTTAGAACAGGCATCTAGATTCTGGGGGTACTTTAGACACCAAGCTGGATTGCCTTGTTTGACCCCATTTGACCCGAAAGTCACCAACGAGAAGCCTCAAACTTCGGCCCAAGTGAGCTTACATGCATACCAAAACACCCAGTGAATTTGGTGTCTCTAGCTTTCTTCGTTTCTGATATCTCAGCGGGTGTGGGGGAGGGGGTGAAATCAAACTGACCCCCACTCGAGCGAAGGGTATCCAACCGGCCACCCGGGCGCGTTTTTCAGTGTATGACTTGATGTAGTACATACATACACACCAAACATAAAAAGTCACCCCGGACAGTCGTCTTTCTGTGCTTTTCCAGCCTGGTCGACATAAGGCGACTTGGCTTTCCTTTGTAGGACCTGCCACAGTTGCATGGTATGTCGTGTATGCAGCATGCAGTTCTTCGTGTGTTCGTTATGTGTTGGTGTGTCTGACTTTGGTGAGCGTTTTCTGGGGCGTTCAGCTACTTCTGAAGACTGTCTTGATGTTGCATCTTCCGATAACTCTTCTGACGCTCTAAGAAATCAGTGTGCAGCAATGGTACCGCCACTGTTGTCTTTTCTTTTAGCTGCCTTGCTTGCTGAGCCTATTATTTGGGCTTCCGGTCCATGAAGTCTCTTGCGTGTCCGTCCCTACTGAGCGTCTCAGTTGGGGAGGTTGATATTACTCTTCGTAGCTGCTTCATTGTCGCTGATTGCGTTTTTCAGATGCTGAAGACATTTCGCAATGCCTTTCTTGACTGCATCCGGATGGGATGACTGAAAATCCAGGCAGCGATCGGCTGCTGTTGGTTTCCGGTACGCAGATACCCTTAGCCTGTTGTTGGTTCTGTCGACTTGGACGCCTAAGAACGGTAGCTTGTTGTTCTCTCTATGTTCCATAGTGCACTAGATGGGTGTTCGCAAGTTGTTGAAGTGGTTGAGGAATGCCGCCTCGTCTTCCAGGTGTTGCCTTAGGACGAAGGTGCCGCGGACGTACCGTAACCGTACTGAGGGTTTCAGTGGCGCAGTTTTTATCGTCATATGTTCGAAATGTTTCATGTGGATATTGGCAATCACCGGTGATGGAGGTGATCCCGCGGATGTTCCATTGGCTTGCTGGTAGCACCGTTCTTTGAACTGGAACACGGTTGTGGCACAAAATATGGGTAGCTCCATGATGCTGCTAATATTGGGATGCTTCTTCTTTCTTCTTGCGATCCTCGTCCTCAAACTTGGACTTGGGCCTGTTCCGTACAACAGCTAACATGCGCCCAGGTGGCTTCTTAAATCGGTGGACGTGGGAAGGTAGGAGTTGTTTCACATCACTGACATCCAACAAACTCAGAGAGATAGACAAACCTAATTCATAGGGTATGTAGGGCTTGTTGTAAGCTCACTTGCATATATCAAATTTTGTGGCCCCTGGGTCATGACCTTCGGATCACACAATGACAAACGTCAAACTCAAGGTGAGTATCCGAAATGATCTCAGACCTACTCACGCAACCAGCCTTACTCTTGCTTCCACTTATAAGCAGAACATTCGGGTTGTTCATATCAGGTCAGTGACCGTATGTGATCTCTACAAGGTAAAAATGGGCAAAAACCTTCAAGATCGCTTTTATGTCTAAATTTTCATTCTTTAACAGCATGCTTCTAGAAACAAAAACTTTATCGTGGTCATGTCACGTTAGTGACGTTCCAAGATCTTCGGGATGTCAAAATGAGAAATCTCTTGACGCCGTTGTAATACATTAATTGAAAACAAGCGTCAAAATCAACCTCGCAAGGCAACATTTTCTATACAAAAATTATTAGATTTTGCCTTCATCTGATCTCCACTCCGCACCCAATGTCGATGAAATAAATCATACTTATTATGTCAATTGTCTTGTTGTCTAAGAAACTTTCCCAAACATCTATGACTTTGTCGGCATTACGCTGTCCGATCATGATGGCAGTTTCCCCAGGAATTGCCTCCGCCCACACCCACGGCTTGACGTTGATCTATTATAACTCAGCGACCTTGCAACGTATATCTAGTTTTGTATGCCGCAAGATCGGCCATTGAGTTCCTACAGCTACATAAAGTTTGCACGGTTGTCGCACCGTTCGAGACTCATTTTGGGAAAAACTTCGGGGAGACTAACCCTCACGCCAGCGCGTGCTAGGGCCTCATACGTTGGTCAAGAGGCTCACTACGTCCAGGGTGATCATTTGTGTGCCAGGTGTTAGGCACGTACCTGTGTGCATTTTTTTACAAAACGTTGTGTACATACTAACACACAGTACCAGGACGGTATTCCGAATTTCAGATGATTTCATTCGTCCCATCCCACACCCGCGGACGATTCGTTCGTCCATGTACAAAAAAACAAAAAACACCCGCAATGCAACCGGCGTGTACAACAGTTGGGTACCACCAAACGTTGGGACGGTAAGTGGTACCGCGGCCGGTCCGTCGGCCGAGGCTCGGGCGCCGAGCCTCCGTTGACGCACCTCCGTCCATCATGTGCATGGCAGACTGGTAAAGCTCCTGGGCGGTGCGTAGCTGCCGGAACAGCTCGACGGCGTTGTTTTTCTTTCCGCAACTCGAACAGTCCCCGTTGGCGTTTTTACCTGGAAGATTGGTGAGGAAGGATGTTGATAAATAGAGCTTCATACCTAATGCTTGAATTCATATCAATATCCGAAACTGCATCCATGACATATACACATCTTAGTTTCTTTCACTGAAATGTTTAAGGATCGTCTATAAAATATGACCTTTGGCGTTACGCCGGTGAGAAACGCTAACCATCAGCCTCGGGCGTTTCATCGACAAGCATGTGAACAATCAGGGCCGCAAAGCAATGCGCGCAATACTCCAAAAACCCGGAGACCAACAACAGCCAAGTTGTAACAGGAAAATCGAAGCAGCCTGCCGGACTGTTGCAATCACAGAGACATGGCGAGGGGCTATGTCTATGGCTGCCTGACATGTCCTGAATGCAAGCCGGCTTCGTGTCCTGTCACGGGACAGGTGCTAGCCTCGCGCCTCTGCACCCTCAGGACATTACGCTCACCGGAGGCCTCGTTGGTGATGCCAGAACCGCATCCCTGGCATTTGATGGAGACCTTGGTATGGTCGAACTGGTCGTAGTCCGGCCAATCCTCCACGCAGGCGACGCATTTACACCCGAACCAGTATCGGGAGCTGCAAGCCGAGTCCGCCATCACGTGATGCGAGTGGAGGTGCAAGGAATAAAGGCAGGGCGCTTATGGCCTCAGCGTCCAGTGCTTATGCCTCCGTCTTGTGAGGGGGGAGGGGGGAGAGGGTGCAGCTCACTGTGTCTCCTGGGCGGGGATGTGGAGAATGCGGCTCACTGTATTTTCTGGGCGGAGGTGTGGAGGATGCAGCTCAATGTATTTTCTGGGCGGAGGTGTGGAGAATGCAGATCACTGTGTCTTCTGGGCGGAGGTGTGGAGAATGCAGCTCACTGTATTTTCTGGGCGGAGGTGTGGAGGATGCAGCTCAATGTATCGTCTGGGCAGAGGTGTGGAGGATGCAGCTCTATGTATTTTCTGGGCGGAAATGTGGAGGATGCAGCTCAACGTATCTTCTGGGCGGAGGTGTGAAGGATGCAGCTCACTGTATTTTCTGGGCGGAGATGTGGAGGATGCAGCTCAATTTATCTTCTAGGCGGAGGTGTGGAGGATGCAGCTCAATGTATTTCCTGGGCGGAGGTGTGGAGGATGTAGCTCACTATATATTCTGGGCGGAGGTGTGGAGGATGCAGCTCCTTGTATCTTTTGGGAGGGGGTGTGGAGGATGCAGCTCAATGTATCTCCTGGGCGGAGGTGTGGAGGATGCAGCTCACTGTATCTTCTGGGCGGAGGTGTGGAGGATGCAGCTCAACGTATCTCCTGGGTTAGGGCGCGGAGGATACATTTCCAGCATTGCCATAATACAAATAAAGATACGTACGAAAGCCAGTGTTGGCGATCCCGCAGCGGCTTGTGGGAGTACACTGGGCCGTAGTTCTCGAAGATGTGATCGCCAGGGGCCAGGTGCTGGACAGAGTGGACGACCAGGGTATCGCCCACGAAGCACCTAAAACGAGAGCACGCCCGACGAGCGCAGGCCAGGCCAGAGTCAGCACGACACAAAGGCAGACAGCGTCATCAGCTGGGGTGGAGCGGTGACCAGCTGGGACGTATGTGTGGCGCACTGTTTGGAAAGCACACGGGCATTACGTGTCCGATAAATGCACATGGCGCATCAGTGGACACGGAACTAACACCGCCACTGACAACTAGTGAGGTGGTGAACGGCTCACGCACGACGATACTGGTGATCGCTCGCATTCAGTTCGCTTCTGAGGATTGCTTTCTGGCTGCAAGCATTAGCAATATATATGGCGTGCATTCCAAAACCACACTCTGCACGCCGGAATTACGGATGTCGGTGAAGGTAAGCGACAGGCAACCACCGGCAGGATCGATATTTTCGTTTGTTTTTATTTGCTCCAAACCGTGTGCATGTGTGACTTGGTGTTCAGAGTTCTACAATAAAAGCCTCGTTGCGTTTTCCCTGAACCCACCACCTTTCCTATTTATTCCAGCTCGAAATGACTATGAATGGACTCCAGAAGAGCAGGTTGCCATAGCAACACAAGAGAAGCGCCTTATTCTGCAGGATAAATGTAGAGGGCAATAGTACAGCGTTCAGTGTCGCGGCATGTCTGTCGGCCCCAGGTTTTCTGGTCCTGACGCTGCGGACAGGAGCGGTTGATCGACTCTCGTCAGGCGTACGATCGCCTGCTGCCCTGAGAGCGAAGCCCCAGCTGACCTGGACACGCCGCCCTCGCAGCTGTGGTTGAAGAAGGAGACCGTCGGGTACACGGCCACACCGATGTAGATGCTGCGCGACTGCTTGAACTGGCCTGGTTCCATCATGACGTACTCGCCCACCTCGTGTGCGTTGAACTGCAGCAGCTGCAGGTGGTGCAGCAGCAGCGAGCCGATCAGCAGCTCGTCCGCTGTCAGCGCGCTGCCTGCGCGGGCAGCCGGATGTCAGAGGAGCGGCACGCGACGGCTGCTGGGATCAGCAGCTCAGGCGCACGAACTGTTCGGCTCTGAGTCCGCCCCTGCAGCTTCACTGGAGAAGGGTGCCAGGTACCCTGATCAGTGAGTGGTTGGCATAGTTAACCTTCCAGGAGCTGAGTTGAGGAGTCACTGGATCTTCACCAGCCACTGGACGCTTGCTCAGGGGAACCAGGATGAACCGGAGCGGCCGTGCCACAACCTTGCGAGGTAGATTCGAATCTGACGTACGGCTGACTATTTTTTCAGGTAACAACCTGAGGTATGTCAACTGAACCTGACTTGTATCTTACTTCTCTGACACATTAAGCTACGTCTTAACGGAGATAAACGGGAGCGCAGCTAGAGACTTGGTAATGGCCGGAGAGAGAGAGAGAGAGACCATAGGGCAGACATAGGGCACCTGACTCGGAACATTTCCCCACAACAAAAAACAAAAATAGTTGAGTATGAACCGCGCGATTTCGAGGGGCACAAATCACTCTGTTTTATTTTCATGTTGACTCCTCTTAACTGAAACGGGACACAGAAGCTGCCGGGAGTGCTTTTTTAAGTCAAGAAACTGAAGGAACTGGGCGTTAACACGCGCTCGGGTGGGGGTGGCAATTGACCCCTCCGCGAAGGTCTTTCCAGAATGGTTTCCGAACATCGCGGCGTAGCCGCGCTAAATTTGCATAGCTGTACACAATTAAATAGTGAATCGTTTGGCATTAAAAATATAGATGTACATTGTAAGGTCGCTGACCTATGGCAAGTCAAGTCAGACCATGGTTTCAGCGAAGGCAATTTCTAGGAATCCTTCAATCTCATCCAACAACGGAGTGTTAGACGAAGCCATACATCTCTGAGATGCTCTCTTAGGCGGCAACACAACAGTTGAATGAGCAAATTAAATTGACCTAAGGTCAGTTATGAAGGTCACATCAAGGTCAAAACCAACCTGTTTTGTTACCCTTGGACTTGCTGTATGGGATAGTTTCTGGTGCTCATTTCGAGTTTATTGATAGCAGGAACCGCATTATACATTTTCCGTGGACTTCTTAGAGGTCAGAATAGATCATTCACCTAAAATGACCCAGGTCAACATTTTGTTTTAGGAACATACTGCCTAGCGTTATCTTTGTCGCTTAGTCAAATGCAAAACTCAAAGCAATCTGGTATGATTTTGGTCACCCTGACCTTCAAAAGGTCAAAAAGGTCACTGACCTTAAATGAGAACGTGACCTTTTGCTTAGAAACGGTTATCTCCGTTCTGGGGGCACTTTGGAAACCAACCTGCAACTTGACCTTGCTTGACCTTTTTCGACCCAAAGGTCACAACCTAGTAACCTGAAACTTGACCTAAGTGAGTTCACGTACAGGTCAACACACCCTGCAAATTTTGTATTTCTAGCTTTCTTAGTTCCCGAGATCTTGGAGAGTCAAATTGACCCCCACCCGAGCGAAGAGTGTCTAGCCGGCCACCCGGGCCCGTGTTAAGAGGACTTTATCCTAAGCTTGTAGCACTTAGGGGATTGCTTGAGCTTATAAAGGTTCTTCAGAGACATTGAAGAACTCGTGAACGTAGACTATATATCAAAGTGGGGTAAACGTGGCCAATTTAGATTCACATGGCCAACCTATGCTAAGCTACGGATGTTCAACCATTATTCAGAATCAATACGTGAAAAATAGTGTAATCCAGTTTTGAACACACGCAACCGCAAGTCTTAGAAGAAATCACCCCGACGCCTGGCGGTGCAGTTTCTGTAAGGCTGCGCGGTGTTCGTCCTATCGTGAAGACTTGATGTTGACCACGCACGATGACAGCAATTTTAACATTTAGAAGATAGTCTAGGCGTATAAATTTCCGCCTGTGAGACTTGCCGATTGATCGGTTGCAACAAAACTTAGTGCTAAACGGCACCGCGAATTGGAGCTTAAGTCCGGTGGTGGAGCTCAAAACCAAAAGGCAGGCTCCTCTTTTTGTTTCTTTAACTCTTAATCTGCTCGGAGATCTAACTCGAGATCAAACAGGTGAAACATACTCTCCAGAGTAATCTTTGATTGGTACGAGTTGATTTTGATATACTTTCGAATACATTATTTCACGACGGCCATTCCGCGTGCCAGGCCCGCAATGTGTTATCTGAAGCGGCCACCGCCTTTTGGGTTGACGGAAACTGCATTTTCCCCAGTCATCGCTGTTCTTGCTTTTTAGATTGTGAGCGCGCGGGCTCCTAACTTCCCTCATATAATCTATTTCATCTGTCGATTCTGAAAAAAGATAGACGTCCTCAGGCAAATGTGGCTTCGCCCTCTTTCTTTTTTGACCACATTTCGTTCCATCCTATAGAACACTGAGGACACCTCCTACCTTTTCCGGGCCATGGGTCATAGGGATAAAACACTAGGTGGTACGTAATCGTCCTAGTTAGGGGTTGAAGGGCCATTCCGTCTCACCACGGGTTATCTACCGGCTACCATTCTGGCGCCACTAGGGAGAGGCTCCTTGGTCGATCGGGAGGCCCTTAGAGGGATTCGCCACGTGTTGTCCATTCCTGATGCGGAGGGCCCTGTGATCAGTATCCTAGAATGGCAAACCTTCTGTGCAAAGCTTCACCCCATGAGGAGAACTTTTTCACTCCTTTTCCCATATTTGATGTGAATTTTTCTCTTTCACTTGATAATGTCTAGCCACACATACCAACCCATATTTTCCTTTCAGAGGCTTTAAGGTGTCATCCAAAACCGAGCTCACGTGAAACTACCAAACATAAACGAGGCTTCACAGAACCTGGACACCCATGGCTATATCCCGCCTCAATTACATCTGAATCATGCCTATGTATGCACAGAGCAAGGGCGCCAGGTACCTTCAAGCCCGAAACCCTCAGCAACTCCAGCCGCTTGCATGTATCAAGTTTGGTTTGTTCGCAACATGCATCGCAATCTTCAGTTGTGTGCCAAATGCAAAGGCTTTCACGCATCCCCATTTTTTGAGGTTACACCATGCCAACACCACAGTAAAACGAAGCCTGATGCAAACATAAGGAAAGCCTGGTAGGGAATTGTACTCCACGTATCTCTTTTACCTGAAGAAACTTGGCCATTAAATTCCACCACTCCCGAAATGAAGGAATGAAAAATTCAAGAAATGCCTCCTAAATGAAACCCAAAAGCTGAATATTACGAATTGAGCACTCATTTTCCAATATTTCCAGTCAGTTTAGTTGATTAAAAAAATTGACCGAACAATTCTAGATCTCCATATTTTATCTACTTAGCTTTTTCGGTCTCATACGAGTGTGATACAACTTCATTCTTCCTTCCTTTCCAATCATCTTAAAAGACATTATCTATGACTTAAAATGTTGACCAAATTGTCTGCAAAGTGCTCAAACTCAAACTCGCATACAATTCACACAGAAATCGGGTTAATTCGCCAGACACCCGAACATGTTTCCATGCACCCAAGAGAGAACAATTCATGGGAAATGGAGGCAATTTGAAGCACGGAACTTATTTTTACCACCATATTTGCCCTGTTACACCGCCAGTTAGCGTTTTTTCTGGAGCGTGGGGGGGGGGGGGGTCATGGCGGGGGTTAATAATGATAAATCTAAGCCACTCCGGTTTTACTATCTCACCACGATTCATTATCCTACTGTACATAGCTTTGGGGCAGAGCTGGCGCAGCTAATACAGAAATGTTTGGTAGCGTAATTCTGTCCTACGAGGCTGTTCTCATGCATGCATACTCTCACTTGTTTCGCATTTGTATCTTGTAGGTTGGTGAGCATGAGTTACTTGTATTTTATGGGTGGGTTGGATGACCCTGTCTGTCAGCAAACTATGCGAAAAATACTGACTTTTCATGTGGGGGAGCAGAAAGAATCCTGCCCTTAAAACCCCAATAAGTTTCTTCTGTGGAGCAACTAATTGCTAACCTTACCAGCTTTCATCACGTGATTTGCAACCAGATTTATTCATTTTCTGTTAAGATTCATCGAGTTTTGTTGTTAAAACAAATTGTGATGCCACAAGAGATGTAATTTATTTTGTTTCATAACTTGACTATTTGCCCCAAATTTGTTGAAGTGGTTCCTCACGTCTGCTCTAACAAGATGTTCATAGTTGCCACAGTTTGCTGACTGGCACATTATTGTACTGTATACATACATTATATTTTTAACGCGGGAATAACCTAAGCTGCATGACAGTTACACTGTGAGGTAGAAATCGATTTTTAGCAGAGACTATCCTATTTAAAATGTGAAGCCAACATCTGGAATTTGGAGTCATTGAATATGAACAACCAGACCTGCATGTATACATTTGTCGGAGCTGAAATGGCAAGCAGCAAAGCTGGTTTTATGGCCATCTATTAGTTATGCTACGTTTGGAGGTGACGGATTGTTTTTCGAAGCATTCTCACCAATGTCCTTGACAGAGGCCGACCATGACAATCAGAAGTTATTCAAAAGTGATTTGAGGGGCTTGGACTTGTGTGTTGTTAACTTTCTGGTGTCAACAAGCTGACACAAATTAATTAACCCAATGCAAGTTGAAACTATTCAAAAATATTTTTTGTCATGTTTTATTAGAGTGCTGCTGTTAAGAAACGAGTGGGGTGAGTTGAGATGATGTTCAGCATATGGGTTATTATGCGCTAGACAAAGTTTGTCTGGTTGCATGACAAGTGGCAGTAGGAAACTTTGTAAAAACCAATAATTCACAAATGCTGTTGTGATGCAAATAGGTTAGACAAGATGAGATAAGGTGGGGCTTCTTTAGGTTGGACCTTGATAGGTTATTTTCATGGAAACGAGTATTGGTATTTTGCCAAAAACAGTCACAAAACATTTGTTTTTTCTGACCCTATCTTAACACGTGCACGGATAGCCGGCTAGATGCCCTTCGCTCGGGTGGGGGAAGGGGTCGATTTAACTCCTATGAGATTTCGGAAACCCGAAAGCTAGAGACACTAAATTTACAGGGTGTCTTGACCTGTACGTGAACTCACTTAAGTCAAAGTTTGAGCTTCCTAGGTCATGACCTGCAGGTAAAATAAGGTCAAACAAGATCAAATTCCAGGTTGGTCTCCAAAGTGCCCCCAGAACCTAGGCAACTGTTTCTAAGCAAAAGTTCAAAAGCCCATTTAAGACCAGTGACCTTTTTTGACCTTTTGAAGGTCATGGTGACCAAAATCCTACAAGACAGCTCTGAGTTTTGCATTTGAACAAGTGACAAGGACTACGCTTGGCAGTATGTTTATAAAACAAAATGCCGGCCCGGTTCACCTCAGGTCAATGACCTTTTCTGACCTCAGTGAAAGTCGACGGAAGATGTGTAACGCGGTTCCTGCTGTCAATAAATTTGAAATTAGCACCACAAGCTATCCCATACAGCGAGCCCTAGAGTAATAAATCAGGTTGGCTGTGATTTTGGTCTGACCTTCATACCTGATCTTAGGTCGACGTAATTTGCTCTTGTGGTGCCTAAGAAAGCATCTCAGACATGTATGGCTTCGTCAAGCACTCCGTTATTGTATCAGATTGAAGGATTCCCCAGAAATTGCCATCGCTGAAACCATGGCCTAAATTTGACCTGCCATAGGGTAGCGACCTTACAAGGTACATCTAAATTTTTGATGTCAAACGATCCGATGTTCAGTTGTCTATAGCTATGCAAAATTTGGCGCGGCTACGCCGCGTCGTTCGGAATCCATTCTGGAAAAACTCGGGGGGGGGGGGGGTCAATTTGACCCCCCACCCGAGTGCGTGTTAACAGAAGCCAGAGGTATGTCTGTGGTATATGATTTGGTGGCGTGGTGATATGCAGGAGTCAAAGGCTTTTTTGTTTGAATGTGTTATGCTTGTTGGTCTTTTTGTTGCTGTGTTTGTTGTCGAAATCGTTTGCTTTGTTTTACATTAAAGAAACCTTTGGAAGGTAAGCGCAAAGTGCAGCATCAAAAGGTTGGTGTTACATAGCTTATTACGTTCATTACACGATTCTGAAATTGATACCCTTTAATGTATTCTGTTGCACTGTAATGGCCTAAGATGTTAAAAGACGTTTTTGTCGTGTCTCTGATATCACATTCATGCTAACTTGAAATGTGTGTCCCTGTTTGCTAGAGAATCTCTCACTGACTCATAACTTCCAACTTGTGTAACTTGAATTTTTCCCTCCTGTGCAATATTTTGGCGATGAAATTTTTCACTCCCACCCTAGTCCAAAAGTGATAACAGCTCACTGCCTCTTACCCGGGTGGTTATCCCCGTATCGACACAGGGGCCCTCACTGACGCAAAAGGACCTCTTTTCGCCCCAGAGGATCCAATGACTCGTAATGAAAATCCAGTTTGGCCTAAGGGATCACTGGCTATAGTAGGGTGAAGGTCCCCCGTTGTGTGCAGACTGGGAACTGTGATCAACAGAGGTCTTCCGTTTCCTTAATTTGAACTCCCATCGTAAGCTCTCATATCTCCTTTAATTATCAACGACTCCCAACCCAACGCAACCGACGCAACATGCCCAATACATGAAACCCCGCCATTGTCCTTGTTCAGCAAATATTTCCCTGACCTACTTGGGGCCCCTTCCCGACACGAACCCCTCACCCCGGTTAGGCATTGTGGGTCCCTGACCGACACAAGGGTTCCGATACTGGTTTAGGGACCCCGAACAAGACGCAAATCGCGGGCCCCGGCGTAGTCCTTTCTTGGGAAAATGAATCCTTACGTCTCAGACCCACGCCGAGCCGACTTTTTGGTGTTGGCGATCTCTGCCCGGAGTAAAGGGCCCTATTTCCTCACGTATTGTAGGTCCCTGACCGGTCCAGAAGCCCTCAGTGACTCAGAGACACCAACCAATATAAATCGCGAGCCCCCGCCTTGAATCTCCTTGAGAAATGGGCCCTCGGGCCCAGGCCGGGCCGGCATAGAGCCAACTGTACATGACTGTTGGTGCCTGACCGGCAACGAGTCCTTCATCAACACAGGGATCCTGATCGGCGCAAAGGGCCCTCTGAATGCCACTTGAGGGCCTGGACCTGCAGGCCGGGCTCCTTAATATAACATTAGGCCCGCTTTTCGTGCCATTGGGGCCTTCAAATCGGGTCCTTAATCGTTAATCCCGAGAAGCCCAAGGGTTCTTAGAGACCTAAGGGATGGGCACGAGGCACGAACCTGTCCCCTCCCTCGCTGCCTGGACCACTGGGGATACAGCAACGCCATATTGTCAGCATAATGCGGTGGCATTTTCCCGTGAGGGCGAACACTTGCCATCATCCTCCAGGAAGCTCTCCGAAGTATCCCGTCACCCGGAGATGTTTGAGTAAGAGGACTGCCATTAGGGTGCGGTGGAAGAAGTCCTCCGGCTTCCTGAGCTCGCCCAACGTGACCAGCTGGTGGACGGCCAGGTAGCTGGAGGGGTCGAAGGTGTGTCCCTCGGTGTCGGTGCAGGGACGGACGGTCGGATCTCGCCGCTTCTCCAGCTCAGGGCGCAGCTGGGGAAGGCCAACACGTCGGTAACATAGTCGCTAATCGCATCTGGCGACCGGCTCCGGCCCCAGACACTTCGCAGCCTTCGAGACTTACAAACCTGGGAACGGAAACGGACGCAGCCGACCATGTATCAGCACGGATACTTACATCCCAACCTCAGGGATTCAACGCAACAAAAAATTGCAAGCTGGTGATATTCAGTTCATGCAATTCACCGGCGCGATTCGTAACTGACCATTAATCAGGGACCATAACGAAATATCCTGGTGGCACCTTCCTTAAGGTAAACCATTACGAAGCTTCTACATAACTAGACGCGTGCTTTTTGCACTCCTTACACAAGGCGAATCAAAACATGCGTGATATCTTCGCGATTCGTTAGAGATTAAAGACTGTTTGGCAGTATGGTTGTGAAATAATAAAATATGACTATTGCTCTGCCGAAATGGTGACATTTTCGCAAAATTCGCCGAAAACGTGAAAGTTGTTACGTTCTTGATAGCATGATTGCTTACTTTACCATAATATCGACAACACCATGGGCCCTCCGACACATACAAGATTTAACCAAAATGGTCTATCTGATCAAATTGCGCGTTCAATGCGATTTGCGATAATTTTCAATGGATATACCATTTCACCTAGAAGAGTCTTGAAATCTTGCCCGAGCTGTAACATTATCATCAGGTTATCAAGCAAACTAGTGCGGATGTTGCGTGACGCAATATGTTATTTCTTGAAACAGTCCATCCGCTAGCCGATCCGAACACTGTTTTCTTGGAGGGAGGGGAGCATGCCGCTGCCAGCCTTCATAACGTAGCAGGTCCCACAGCAAGTATGGAGCGGAATATGAGAGAAGAAATTGTTAAAAAAGGAATAGAGCGTATGCAAAATAAACCGATGCGTCTATTCCCTTTGATTTGAATTGGTTATGATGCTGCTGTTGGTTCATGTCGACAGATGGTATTTTGTTGTTGCGAAAGATCTGCGTTTATCGACCGTTGACAGAATGAAGCAACTGTATGCGGCTGTCTGGGATAAGATAGCAGCATGGGACCACAGGTGCCAGCTGGTGAACGGCCAGGCAGCTGGGGGGGGGGGGGGGGGGATCTTATGGGACCACAGGTAGTCCAAAACCCGAGGTCGAATGAATGCAACAGCTAGCTCCGGACTTGGACTGACAGAAATCACGCTGTTTCAAAACTAATCTCGATATATTTGACACTCATATCAAGTGCAGACAGGACCAAGTGACCAGCGTGTTGCTATCAACATGTTACTTCCGTTGAGCGAGTGCTTAAAACACAACGCTCAGGCCAACACTTCGCACGTGCTCGCTATGGTCGGCTCCGGGGCAGCCGTCAGCGTCGATAGGAGCGCGCCGCGGTGGCAGCCGGCGGTGCCGCCGGCCTCACCTCTCGGAAGAACTGCATGCTGTGCCTGGTTACAAGCCGCAGCGCCAGGTGGCACAGCACCGACATGCCAGAGGCCTGCAGCAGGTCCAGGATGGTGCACTCCCAGCGGTGATAGGTGGCGGCCGCGGCACACTCGGGGCTGCAGAACACGACGCCGCTGCACGCGGCGCACGGAAACGCCGCAAGCACCCTGCGGAGCAAGCGGGACCGGCTAGAGCGACAGCCCCGCCCAACTCGCGTGCCGGGTAAGCCTCTCAGTCAGTTGTCATTTGGGTGTGATAGTTATTTTACGTTGTGGTATATTTTACATAGTAACACGACTCATGATATTAATCGTAGTCTAGAAGAGGCGGGGCAGGAGAAAAGGTTTAATGATCCCTGGAAGCAAACTTCACCGCTTGAAAGATCGCTTGTCTCACATTCAGGACAGCCAACTTTGAGCTAACTTTGAGTCGAGTTAGCACAGCTACACAGGACATAACAAGTTTCAGGAACATTCACACCAATCACTCTACGATTCTTGCAAAGAGGCGCTAAATGGAACAGCTTAAATCTACTTATGTATGAAGCTTATTACATAACTTATACTTACAACTTACAAGTCCTAGGTTAAGCTCACAACAGGACGCCCATTTATCGCACCTTCTGAGCCTATCAAAGTGGTGTTTCGTCCCGCGTCGCCACGGCCCCGACTTTTGAAAGTCTCGCCAAGTTCACATGGCTAAATACTCGCCGCGCGCGAATAAATACGGATAAGAAACGCCATTGTAACTGAACGCTGTTATCGCAGCAGATTTACTCTCGCCCTATTCACGTACTACCTTCAGCTGCTGGATATTCAACAGCGGTACCGAATGTCCGCCGCGTAGAGGATCGCAAATGAAAACTTGCAAGAATTTGGTGGCAATGCTTACGGAAAGACATCTAAGGGAGACAGCCAGGTTATGGCCACCCGTAAGATCACACAGACTAGTCGAAAACTGACACATTTTTAGCACCAAAGAAGCTGAGCAAGTTTGAACGCAATTCTTATTTAAGAACATTCTTTGAAGTAAACGAAAGCGAAATCCGACGAGTGTTTGAAAATCAAGACAACCATTTTGGCCACCTGGGCCGGAGTTTCCCCCTCCACATCCAAGATGGTGTTCTGGATCCTGTTGCGTTTAGTAGTTGGCATATGAGTATAAAAACGACATTTTGCATGAACGAAAGAGATACATTTTGCAGCGATGCACGATTTGGGCGATTGCGACCAAAGCCTTGCAAAGTACGAAAAATCCTCGGTTGGATATTAGTCACCTTGAAATGGGCTTCACATCTGGGTCAATTTGACGCCCCCAGCCCGCTCAGTTTAGGCGTGGGCGGGATGCATTCGATATTAATTGAACCCACAACCTTCGTCACTTTGGGTCGGTTGCTAGCGTTGTCACGGATTTGATGGTGTTGGACAGAACGGCTGATTTGTAGACTGTACAGGCACCTGCTTGGTGCAGTTGGTTTCACGTCTCTGTTTGCTCCATTCACCGGTATCTGAAATCCGTCATGAAGAACCGGAAATCCGTCGGATCTCCTGTTTGCACACGAGTCCACGTGCGCGGCCGTGCGCGCTGATTCGTACGCCTGCCTGCGCGATTAAATATTCTTCTCCGAGTCAAATTGTGCTGACGGCGTTTCACTGCGACGCTCCTCTGGCGAGCTATAAACCACGTTCCGATGCGTGTTCCAATGGTTTATGTCAATGTGCGACCTTCGTAGTTCCTGTGCAAAGCCAGTAGGCAAGTTGGCAGCGCTGACCGCGCCCCGCCGGTCAGATCCCGTCCCAAGTAACACACAGTGATGCGGGGCTGCCGGTCTAAACGCACACCACGTCCCAGGCGGGGAACTGACGCCGGCACCGGGCTGTGACGCTGTTTGTGTGGGCCAGACGGACGGGCATGACAGATATCATACCAAAGATATCAGGGTTTGCCGGTGTAACCCGCTCTGAAAATGACCCGCGCCGTCCACTGCCATAGAATCTTTGCAGTCAGACCGACCCGGCCACGCGATTACCTCGTTTACATGGGCCGACCAAACGGGCGATTTTGCGACCATTAGATAAAAACGCCGTTTCTATTGATGTAAACGGGTTCCAGCGACGCCGTGACCGCCACACATCGTATCGTAAATTTACGATGGTGGAATTTACGATTCGCGTAAATCTCGCACAAACAGCTAAACGCAATGCTGGTCTTACCATCCATTTTTTTAAACATAAATTTGTCAAGGTCTGATGTGTTGTCAAGGTGTTGCCGAGTTAGGACCCCTTGACCCGGCGCTCCTCCCTCTGCACATGCTGTCCCACCGGCCGGCGCTGACCTCTTCAAGCAATGGAGACAGTGAGTGCTCATCTTCTCAGCCATGAGGACGGAGGCGTGCGGCTTCTCCACCACCAGCACGTCGCCGGGCTGCACGTGCTGCGCCGCCACGGCGTAGCGTCCCTCGCCGGCCGCGTGCGCCACGTCCACGGCCGCGCTGGCGCTGACGAAGTGTCCGCTCCGGGAGGGCAGCGGAGGCGGCGCCGGCTGCTCCAGCTCCGCCTGCAGCACTGTTCAGCCGGCGTCCGAAGGCGGCGCTGTTCACTCCGAGCCACGGGCCGAGACCCGCCGCCAGCCACGCCAAACAAGGCTTCAAGAGGATGTAAAATGGCACAGACGGTGCCAACGTTCTTCAGTGACGGGCAACACCAAAAGTTGATGTATGCTTAGCATTCATCTTATCGCCGTTGGACGCTGGTAATTACGAATCAACCTAGATTGGGACACGGTTCAACACAAACATCAGCAATGGTTCAACAGCATTAGGCCCCAAACGTATAGTTAGCAATACAAATGGGGAAGACTGCATGTTTCACGTTTATCAGACTTCACACATATGCATACTGTGTGCAGAAGTGACTGCATGCACGCAGCGAATATTCAGTGATAGATATATTGAACAGCATAACTCACTGATAGGCTTGCAGTCCTGCATTTTCGAGGTGGTGTCCATTTTGTTCTGCAAATCTTTCTGCCAGGCCGCCATCTTCTTTTCGTTGAGGTCGGCCACCGTAAGTGCCGTTTTTAACTCCTGCAGTGTTCCGCGACTGGCTGTGACTTCACCTGTAAATCCGTCATTGCAATCTTAACATGCAACGAAAAAAATAATGACCTCCCTCCCTTTCCTTCCTTTTCTTTTCCATTTCATTCCTTTCTCTCCCTTCTCTTACCTACCCTCCCTCTCCTTTCCTCCCCTCCCCTCTTTTCCCTCCTTTTTCCTTTGCCTCCATTGCCTTCCATGCCCTGCCCTCTCCTTCCCTTCCCTTTCCTCCCCTTTCCTCCCATATTTAGCTATTCCACTCCATTCCAACAGCTTCTCATTCTTCCCCACACCTTTTTTCCCCTACGCCATTCCTTCCCCTCCCTCCCCACACCTTCGCTTCCCTCCCACATTTTACCTTCCCTTCGCCTCCTTCCCCACACCTTCCCTTCCGTCTTCGGACCTTTCCTTTTATCCTCATTCTTTCTTCCCTTCCCTCACCTTGCTCTCCCTCTCTCTATCTGACACAGACCCAGTTTGAGTTGGCAGGTGGCACGCCGGTCCAGCAGCTTGTAGCGCAGGCGGGCCGGGTAGCCGGCAGCCAGTGCCGCTGTGATGTCGCGCAGGCAGAGCGCGTACTCGCCCATGTGCAGCAGCGCCGCCGACCGGTTGGCGAAGCCGATGCTGAGCAGGTCCCCTGTCGTGTCGCAGAAGGTCAGCACGCCGGAACAGCCGGCACACATGTCGGTGTCGCGCATCTAGTCACCAATGGTGCCTTGAGCAATGAGCAGTCGCAGCCATTCGAAGACACGGATCGTTTTTAACCACGTGCGGCAAGCTGCTGCTGCTCCGCGGTTACGTTTTTTCGTTACGCAAACCTCAAAGTACCGTACTCCCGCAGCCTGAAAAGATGAAAAGTTATGGGAAAGAAGAGAAGATTCGGCTCTTAAATGTTTTGCTGTGCTCTCAGAAACACTTAGAACTACGAAAGTACTGATGGGGAAAATCGTTAATTCACAATCCTCCTTAGACCGAAGACGTTGGACCCAGCCGGCGCGAGATGTATACTTCTGCTGCCAATCGCCACAGCACGTGTTTCGCTTGAGCAAGTCAAAGCAAACCCCAAGCTGTTTTCTTTGACGCAAAGCCCAAGCAGTCTCCAGTGGGTGGGATGAAGCCCGACCACACCACGCACCATAAACTGAACGCACGTTCTCCCCACTTGTGTCATTTGATTTCACGGCGCTGGTTACGCAGGTCAAATATGCTGCACGCGTTTCGGTTCTGCGGAACAGCTGCCAACCGACCATCCACTCCCTACCCTCCCCCTGTGACCATCCGATTCCAACCCTTTTCCCAACCATAATATCCCTCTACTCCCTCCCCCCCTTCACTATCCGCTGACTGACCTTCGTCGTCATGCCCGGGCGGCGGGGCGCGCACCACGCTCTGACTGTACTGACAGACGGCCTGGCGGTAACGCTTCTGTTGGAACAGCTGGTTGCCTGCCTGCTTTGTGTCCTCGGCCGCCTTGGCCGACTTGTTCCGACAGAAGGGCCTCACCTGCGGCGAGTGACCCAGTCACCAAACAAGGCTCCAAGACGACCTCGGCGCGTGCCGGGTCAGGTCAGCGCCACAATCAGGGCCGGACCCCGAGGTGACCCCGGACGGTCACCTGGCCCGTCATCCGTGACCAGTGATGTCAGCAGCGCGGACGTCATTAGCTGCGGACGCCGCCGGTGTGGCATGATTGTCGGTGCTATCGGCTACTACCCTTATCCTACTCCAGAAGGGAGAGTCAGGTAGCCTCAGCACATCGGTCCGTTACAGGACTGGCGATGCTGAGACAGGCTGCCCAAAGACATCGGTCTGCTACAGGACTGGCGATGCTGAGACAGGCGGCCCAAAAACATCATTCTGCTACAGCACTGGCGTTGCTGAAACAGGCAGCCCAAGGACATCGGTCCGCTACAGGACTAGAAATGCTGAGAGAGTGACCAGACCCTTTCTCAATTGCAAAGCGCATTTGCTAGGAATTACGGGACTATGTAGCAAAATGGCTAAGCCTCACCCAAAACACGCCCCTTAGATAATTTTTCGTTCAAATAAAGCCCTTTTTCTTAACACGCGCTCTGGTGGGGGTCAAATTGATCACCCCGAAGGTTTTGCCAAAATGGTTTCCAAACGGCACGGCATAGCCGCACCAAATTTTGAAAAGCTGTGAGTAATTGAACAGCGGATCGGCTGGCATAACAAAACGCAGATGTACCTTGTAAGGTCGCTGGCCTATCACAGGTCACAGTCAGACCATGGTTTCAGTGAATGCACTTTACGGAATCTGTATGCTATATATTATATATATTACACTAAATACTCCTGGGGAATCCTTCAATCTGATCCAACAACGGAGTGTTAGAGCAGGCCAGACGTCTCTGAGATACTTTATTAGACAACACAACAATTGCATGCACAAATGAAATTGACCTAAGCTCAGGTATGAAGGTCAGACCAAGGTTAAAACCAACCTATTTTCTTATTTTGGGGCTTGCTGTATAGGGTAGTTTCTAGTGCTCATTACGATTTCATCGATAACAGGAACTGCATTATTCACCTTCCAGGGACTTCTCTAGCGTCAGAGCAGGTCACTGACCAAAAATTCCCCTAGTCAACATTTTGTTTTTAGAAACATAATTCCTAGTGAAATCTTTGTCGCTTATTCAAATGCAAAACGCCAAGTACTCTTCTATGATTTTGATCACTATGACCTTCAAAAGGTCAAGCAAGGTTACTGACCTTAACTGAGCATGTGGCCTTTTGCTAAGAACAGTTATCTAGGTTCTAAGGGCCCTTTGGAGACTAACCTGAAACTTGACCTTGTTTGACCTCATTTGACATGAAGCTCATGACCTAGGAACCCCAAAATTTGACCTACGTGATTTCATGTACAGTTCAACACACCCTGTGAATTTGGCGCCTCCAGCTCTCTTAGTTCCTAAATCTTATGGGGAGGGGGGGGGGGGGTCAAAATGACCCCTACCTGAGCGAGTAGGTATCCAGCCGGTCACCCGGGCGCGTGTTAAGAGATGGTGGTATTACAAACCATGGTATTCCGGCTGAGCCGTGACCCATGCCGTGCACTGAGCCTCTTATACGCCTTTCTGAAGCACCATTTTGCAGGTGTATGGTGATGCGATCAGACAATGATGTGTGATCAATATGGGATGAGTTGCTGCAGCGCGCACAATCACCAAGAGGGCATTGGAGCTCGTAGACGGTATTGGTAGCCTAGAGAGCGGATGTGGCCCGTGCCGAGTTGTTCGTCATAATCAAGTTAGATGTATGTAATTTTTTATCGTCGTATAAAATCAGCAGTTGAACTTTGCCCCAAGGTCTAGAGGTACACCATTTTTCAAGACAATGTCTCGAATAATTTCTTTATATTTTTAGTAGGTGGACATGCTTCCTTAAGAGTGCAGTCTTCTTTACCTGACCTGGTCGTTATCAGGTGCGTTAAGTTCATATTCTCCAGCTTTTTCAAAAAGGGGATCGTGACACTCGTCGCCACGGCCCTTTTATGGACCCAAACGACTGCATTGGTCGTATTAACGCTCAGGGTCCATGGCGCAACCAGTTTTGGAATCCGAGCCCCTGCATGGGGGGTGCGGCGCGCTGACTGCTCGGCGATTACGCCCAAAGACTCTCCAGCGGCGCGAGAGAGACGTTTGTGTAGTTGCCGTCTGTAATCGAGGGTGACGTTTGTGGAGTTGCCGTCCGTAATCGAGAGGGATGTTTGTATAGTTGCCGTCTGTAATCGAAAGTGACGTTTGTGTAGTTACCGTCTGTAATCTGTGCTACTAAATCTACGGTTGTCGTTTAACACGATTTGTTTTGTTTTTTATAGCCCCTGGTGCAAAAGCGGCCAGGTCTGGCAATGTTTGACTGTGCAGTGGACACATGCGCGACTAACGCTATCGTTGTGTTTATCAAGCCACTCCCTGGCATTGTTCGAACAGTGTCCAGTGTCATCGAACTTTCGAAACACAGATGTAACAAGGGAGCTATGAGATGCATCATTGTGGACATCAGGGAACGGTTGTTATTGCTTGCAGATGGTTCAACAGTGAACTGGAGAACTGAGTATGACTTATAGTGTGAATGCGCGATTCTTGCATTGTAATGTCATGCAATATAAGGATGGGTTTGATGGCATCCTGCATAAATGCTATTTTTTATATAAAAAGTACCATCTCACGTTATGCAGTTTAATCGTTGTGATAACTGCAGTGAAAAAATGAAATGACGCATCGTTCCTTTAGAAGTGCCTCCGCATTTGGAGTGCCTCATCTTGTACGAATTTGGAAATCTTAGTGGAACATATCTAAGGTCGCTGGAAAATAAGCAGGAGATCACCACCCATCCGAGACGTTGTAGACTGCATTACGTTATGCTAGTACGACTATTCTGTCTGTCTGATGATGTCTGATAATAGATTTAACGAAGCGTTGCGAGAGAACCATATGGGTGCAATCCTATCTAGCCTTCCGAATGATGGTAGGAAAATTATCTGGAGCGTTGAAGATCATCGTAAGAGAAGTGAATAATGACTAACTTGATGTCACCTTCGCGATGACATGCATTGGAAGAAACCTGCTGGCGGCATTCATAAATGTTACTAAATGAATATATATATATATATATATATATATATATGTATATGTGATATATAGAGTTATTATATAAATATATAAATATATATATATATATGTATATATAGAATGCCTCCCTCTCTCTCTCTCTCTCTCTCTCTCTCTCTCTCTCTCTCTCTCTCTCTCTCTCTCTCTCTCTCTCTCTCTCTCTCTCTCTCTCTCTCTCTCTCTCTCTCTCCTCTGCGCTGAGGCGTGACACCACCCGTGGCAAGTGTATGGGAGGCTCCCGACATCATGTAAAACTAAACATACCATTGGTACTCCCCATCAACTCATAAGCGTTTCTGTATGGAAGGTGTCCGCTCGCAGTTACAACTGAGCGCTAACACCTGCTTACTTACCTTTATTATTGAGTGCACAGGTGGAAGATTCCAGACGAAGAAGATTCGCTCTTCGTCCGTTTTGAGTTGTTTGAACTCTTCGAACTGGCTTTCAGGTACCGACTGAATCACCTGCGAACCAATTTTTACAAACGAACAATTATGCTGAGACGCAGCTTATACTATCATTTACCTAAACTGCTCAGAAAACAATATTTTCTACCTATCAGCTGTCCATGCACCCACTCTAAACACCGCTGGCAATTATCACCGCAAGATGCACGAGTAAAAGATATCACGTCTTCGATATAGCCAGCCGGTAATTGGCTTCGACAGAGTCATCTACTGCTCTCGAAGCACGAGTGTGCGGGATAGACAGTGCTGGCAAATGGGTCTAACAATAATGAAACAATGAAAGCACAGTGATTTCTGCGTTGCTGAACAGTGACATGGACTGCATCTGAATTTCGCGGAGCTTCGCGAAAGCCAATGGTAACAAGATTATAGAAGTTTCACGCAACTATACTTTTCGTCAGCCGTCAGCACTGTATATGTGTAACTGCATTTGTATTGGTTCTTTCACGCATGCCGCACTCCTCACAAAACGCAAAAAAAAGTTTTTATAACAGGGAAGCCTCCACTCATCACCACGGAATTACTGGTCATCAGCAACTTCTGACTAAACATTGAACAGCTGCCATGTGACTGTTGACGTAATGCTGCTAGTCTGTATGTTGTGAGCAAATCTTGGACAAAGTTCAGAGTAAGTATCGCCTTATTCTTGAAGCCTTCACGGCCAGCTCCTGTGATATGTACGGGGTGCAAGGGACTAAAAACCAAGTATGGCGTACCGAAGTGGCATGATATCTGGGCAGCAGATTATTACTTTCAAGCAAGCTTCGCTAGTGGTTAGGGCTGTTCCCTTGCCTCTTACCGAGCCGTCTTTTACCTTGGTTGTTGCACGCACCGTCACGTCACGTTCTGCATAACATTGCAATCAAAATCCATGCCGTTCTAAACTTTTGCCTGGCCATACTGAACAGCTGGTTATAACGTCCAGCCCGTTTAATTTTCTCCCTTTTTGGCAAATCGCATCTGGAAGTGTCTATGTCCACAACATCTGCAGAGGGTTCGGAAGCGAACACTCCTTGTCAATGTCCACAACATCTGCAGAGGGTTCGGAAGCGAATGCTCCTTGTCAATGTCCACAACATCTGTAGAGGGTTCGGAAGCGAACACTCCTTGTCAATGTCCACAACATCTGCAGAGGGTTCGGAAGCGAATACCCCTTGTCAATGTCCACAACATCTGCAGAGGGTTCGGAAGCGAATACTTTTAGTCAATGTCCACAACATCTGCAGAGGGCTCGGAAGCGAACGCTGATTGTCGATGTCCACAACATCTGCAGAGGGTTCGGAGGCGAATAATTCTGGTCGATGTCCACAACATCTGCAGAGGGTTCGGAAGCGATAAATGCTTGTCAGTGTCCACTCTGGACTCTGGACGGGGCCAGACTAGCAAGAGATTTCACAGGCTGGGCAAATTCATGAGTAACCACATGAAATGGGCAATGTGTTGGGTTGAATACATATTTTGTGGAATTACGGATATAGACACGGACATAGGTAAGACGGTTACAAAGTTGCGAGTGTACAATTCCCGAAATGCTACATAATGTTACTGCTTGCTCTTTCGCAGCGCTCGTTAGTTCCACTTACAAACATTTCATCTGTCAACGCAAAAAGATCGGTCTGGGTGAATAGTTTTCTGAAGGTTTTCGACGATTTAGAAGTAAGGTGCTGGAAAAAATGCAAACGGTTGCGCAAACGAGTGGGGACAGGAGATTAGGAGTATGTAGTGGTTGGATATGGGCACATCTTTGTGAGTAACGAGCGGATTGGGTTTGACAAATCTGTCCGTTCAAGACGTCTGCAGACTTCCAGCTGTACCTGGGAGTCGAACGTCATGAAGTAGCCGTCCTTCTTGGTTTGGAGCGTGGCGTCGCTGCAGAGCCGCTTGTAGCCGGCGTCTATGACGGCCATCTTGCGAGCCTCGTCCTCTGAGGCGGCCGGCTGCTGACCCGAGGTCACGGCCGTCGAATCCGCGTCCTCTGAGGCGGCCGGTTGCTGACCCGAGGTCACAGACGTCGAGCCTGCGCCCACTCCCCCCACCGGTGCACCGGCAGCGTCCGTGCTGAAGGATACTGCTTTACCGCCGGCTTCGCTGACTGCCACAGCGTCTTCCTTTTGGCCATTGGTAGCCATTTTTGCGTCCTGGGTACTTGTGTCGCTGTCTAAAGCCATCTAGAAGCCTGAAATGAGTATTGTCAGGAAAATAACTGGAGAGGGGTGGATTATCTTTTCCCAGTTGCCAGCTTGCAGGTAGCCTTCCTCACGAAGAGTTGTGTCAAACCGTTTGCATTTTGCTATTTGTAATTTAGAGTTTACCATGTAACGATTACAATTGTTTCATAGCGCGTGTTGTACGATTGAAGTTGTAAAGCTCGATGCCGTGTGTAATTCGGGGTGCGGCTAAAGTCTTTCGATTTTCTCTGGACTCAAGAAAATTTTAATGACTGTGAAAATATCAAAACGGGTGATACTAATGGGAATATTTGACAATAGGTCACATCTGGCACACTATTGACGTTTTTCCAGCGATACTTTGGCGCGGCTTGGCGTAAATAGCGCGCTAGCGTACTTGCTGAGAATGTGCGTGTGTGTGGAGCCTTCGCGTTTTTATCATAGCCAAGCTGATGACACGTTCACAAATAACGACTAACAAGTTAGCCAGGTAGGCATAAACTATTCTTTAATTGAAACAGCGAGCTATTTGAATTGTCAGGAGATGTCTGAACTGGCACCATGGGCAAAAATATCTAACAGACCCTGCCGGAACTGTGCTTTGATTGTTCGGTTTGCTTTATCAAATGGTCTGGGTCAATGTCACAGTGACAGTGACTTTGTGGGAAAGAGATGGGAACAAGAGTTTTCTAATTGAGTAACTACGGGTGGGATGGAGTGGGGACCTGCAATTTTCACCTGTCATTTTGTATACACCAAGTCATGCATGGATTCATGGATGCTCGGGGTCAATTTAAGCTCCTTGAGATCTCGGGAACTGAGAAAGCTAGACACACCAAATTTACAGTGTGTCTTGACCTGTACAATAACACACTTGGGCGAAAGTTTGAGCTTCCTAGGTCATGGCCTTCAGGTCAAATAAGGTCAAACAAGGTCAATTACCGTGTTGATTTCTCAAGTGCCCCCAGAACCTAGGCAACCGTTTCTAAACAAAAGGTCTCAAGCCTCTTTTAGGTCAGTGACATTGTTTGACCTTTTGAAGGTCATAGTGACCAAAATCATACAAGACTGCTCTGAGTTTTGCATTTGAATAACCGACAAAGATTACGCTAGGCAGTATGTTCCTAAAACAAAATGTCGACCCAGGTCATATCAGGTCAAAACCTGTTCTGACCCCTAAGAGGTCAATGGAATATGCATAGTGTGGTTCCTGCTGTCAATAAATTCGGAATGAGCACCACAAACTATACTGTACAGCAAGCCCTAGAGAAATAAATCAGGTTGGTTTTGACCTTGGTCTGACCTTCATACATGACCTTAGGCCAATGTAATTTGCTTATTCAATATTTGTGGTGTCTAAAAAAGCATCTGAGATGTATGGCTTCGTCAAACACTCCGTTATTGCATCAGATTGGGCGATTCCCTAGAAACTGCCTTCGCTGAAACTATGGCCTGATTTTGACCTGCCATAGGTCAGTGAACTTACAAGGTATATCAGAATTTCTTATGTGAAACAATTTGCTATTCGATTGTCTATAGCTATGCAAAATTTGGCGCGGCTACGTCGCGCCGTTCGGAAACCATTCTGGAAAAACCTTCGCGGCCGGGGGTCAATTTGATCTCCACCCGAGCGCGTGTTAAATTTGTCCTACAATGTGTTAGATATTTAGTAATATATATATATATATATATATATATATATATATATATATATATATATATACAATTACTGTAATATTTCCCTAATTTCATAATGCCTTGCTAACCCATAGCCCGTGCATAGCCAAGCCCGTGCAGGGTTCTTCTCTCCGGTACACAAAGCGCCAGCCCGGCTTTCTGTAAGAAATACGTCAGTGGAAGAAAAAAAAACGCCAGGAGGAGGAAAAAGGCAAATTTGCCGTCGCGTCTTCTTTTTTATAAACATTGGGGAGAGTGCCGCCTTTTCCATGCTGTACCTTTTAAGCAGACAGCGGCGTTCACTTTTTATAGCATTGACTAATGGCCTAGAACTCAGGAAAAATGCCCCATGGGCGACGAGTGCCGCACAACCCGAAAGTATTCACGCTGGCGTTCGCGACAAGCATTCAGCAGCGAAATGTTACCCACAGCCAATCACCTTCCGCGGATGTTATCATATGTGCTGCATTATAGCTCTTGCGAATGTGTCAGTAACTATGCTGTTTTGACCACAATCAGAAAACAGCCTGTAATGCAACGGCAATCGTATGATGTCTCTGTGGCGACATCAATGTCAAGGTGACTTTGAAGTAGTCTCCCAATAAATTTTTCGCACTTTTGCGGGCGTACAACTCGGGAACCAGAGGGTTTTGCGTCTTAAAAAGGGCATGGCCGTGAACTGCAACAAAAGGCCCTCAGGATGGCTACTTCAGATCAAGACCCCATGTGGGAGTGGAACCTTCCCTTTTTTGTTAAAAATGCCACGCTTTATCCTCTACAAAAACGCTGAGGAAGACATTCAGTGGGTGGCAATCTTCCGCAGCATATTTTGTTGACACAAACACTTAATTTAGCGAACTCATTTTCGTCCGCAGTCTCTGAGTGACATGCTCCAGGCAACCACCCGTGTCGCATGACAACACCTGTAGCGATGTAAACTCTTCAGGTAATCCCCATAAACCCACTCCTAAGCTCTTACGAGTCCTAGGACGGCGTGTTCTTATCTTGAAACTGCTTAAAAACAGCCAGTGCGGTCTGGGCTATCATGTTCTTCCGCTGTACGGGGAGCAAAGCCCTCTCGAGGTCTATACTCTTTCTCATAAAGATCGATCAAAACGTTTGCGTTTTGTTACTTGTAATTTAGAGTTTACGAAGCGCACATTACAACTGTTTCATAAAACCAGCGCACGTTGTACAACCGAAGCTTTAAAACTCGACGCCGAGTGTAATTTGTCGCCGCCAATCACCGGTCTTGCAAAGTACATATAAGAAGTACGTCCGAGCGGCCTTTTAGCACACATTACGCCCAACGTTGACGTGACGTCACTGGAGTCATGACACAAAGAAAGTAGCGCGCAGCCCCGCACGATGCATATTACGATCTGGGTATTTGCGTTTCCCTTGGTTACTGCTGCGTTGCATGCCAAATGTGCTGGAAAAAGCTACCCTTTCTTTCTTCCGCTCCTAAAAATACGTCACTTTATCAAATTTGGTGCAAATTCAGTAAATATAACCTAACTGACATCGCCCACCCTGAGCGGGACGTTGGTGTCAATGCAATCAGTCAGGCTCACGCAGTCGGGCTCACCGTTCTCGCTGTCCCCGCTTGTGCCGGTGCCGGTTTACGTGTCACCGATATGCACGTGCCCAGGGTCGCACCCAGAATCTTGGGCAACTCATTAATGAACGACGCCACTCGGTGTGCAAAGGACCGTCGTCCAGCCGCTGCACGCACCGCAAGGGAGGGGGGGGGGGCGCAGGTTATGGTCCATGCAGGGGGGGGGGGTTCGGTCACTGGTCCGCACCTCAAGCGTATGTTTGAGGCAAGCAGGCAAGACCCTCAAGGTTCACCTCGCTCATGGACTTCGTGCGCAGCGATAACAGTTTGTATGTCACATATCTGGCAAGGAGTGGCAAAGTGCGGGTCATTCCGCGCACGAGACACGTGGTCACGCTTTTATAGGCTAGTGACTACTCTGGTAGCGAAGCTAATTACTTTAAGCAGGCTGACCTCGTTAACAGCTGATCCCTGTTCATAAACCGAAATGCAGTATCTCACGCGCGAGATGACCAGACCCTGCCCTATGGTCAGCAGCACTCGTGGGAGGAAAGGCCTCGAGTGGCGGATACCGATGAAGACGCCGATGCAGCTTTTTACTACAGCACTGACATGTGCGTCCCAGCTCAAGTGGCGGCCAAATAGCAAACCTAAGTTTTTTTAGGGGCAGGCTTTCGCAGCATTTTTTTAAATAATAAAAAATAGTTTATTGCGATAGCCAGCAAAATTTACGTTGGGAGCTGTTATGTTTTGTCATCACATCCTAATTCTTCAATTCAGGCTTACACCGCTCAAGTATTTGGATCCATAGGGCAAAGCTTACAAGCGTTAATAAAAAATATAAAAAAAATATGAAGACGAAACGCTTCGGCACCTCAGGAAAAACAATGGGCTTCCCAACGTCTATCTTTAATTTTGTGCATTTCAGATTTGGCCCCAAAGTAGTCTTTGCTGAATTATGCAAACGGGAAAATAGTTGCGCACGACAAAATTCAATACATAGGATGGAAATGAATAGCCAGCTTATGAAGGGTGATCTGACGCGACAGTCGGCAATGCGTAAGACGGTAGCCACTACAAAGCCTTCAAAAGAGAAATGGAAAATTGTATTGGAATTTGCAAGTTGCTAAAATACATAACTTAGCTTGTGAGCTTTCACGCGGTCAAGGTACGGCCTAACCTCGTAACGATTCTGTTGGCCCCCTTCTATGATGCATTGGCATACATACCTTAAACTACAACAATAACGCAACAATAAGGAGGCGCTGGATGCGATTCGCAATCCATTTATCTGCTGAACCTTAATCAATTTTTATTTCAGTTTTGGAAAGCCATGAACTTAAAACTGCAATCCAGCTATTACGTGCGCTTCATATGTAGCAAAGCCAACACCAATGAGGAAATGATAGTGTTTATCTTTCAGCACAGCTATAAGGTTTTATCAATTATGTGTTCCAGAGCGCCTCAACTGATGAGGTCTTTTCGCTGAACGCATACACTATGTTCGGGAGTGCACTTACGGCATCATGAGAATAGAAAACAAGGTAAAGCAAGCAATGACAGCGCGGAGCGGGGAGAACGGGGACAATATTCAAGGGAATGTTCCACATTTGAAGATATTAAGATGAGCATCAAATATGACGGGAAAAGCTTACTTGTAACTACTGGTAAGCTTTCAAGGTTCAAAAACGAACCACAGTAGCAAAATTTCAACGTTTGTAAAGATGTGCCCCATTGCGTCATTGTTTGATGACGTCATATAATCGTATTATGACGACAGCAATGCCTGACAGCACCTGGTAGCCAGACCTAAAAAATGCCTCCGAACGCACGAAAGCTGACGCCAACCGGCCATTCTCGTCGCGGGCGCTGCGTTGGGTGGCGGATTAATGAATGGCTTGTTTGTGGATTTTTTGTCTTGGTACTGGCCGTATTAGAAGCTTTGGTGGGCTGTTTGACATACGCAACGTAGCGATCGCCAGCTTTTAGGGCAGATTATCAAGAACAAAGCACGATATGCTGTGAAGACTGTCATATAGCGTCATGAATTTCTTACAGAAACCCGTCAACGACTGTTCAGAATGTCACTACTGTATTGTTGACTTATCCTTACCTGCAGTGCTGTAGTCTTGCCACTAATATCATGTGATGTGCGCAGTAGTTACTTTATTATTTGTAGCTGAAAATGCAGTTGCGTGCAAAAACTAATAAATCTGTGAGATTGCTATGAATTGAGTGCCAAAACGGTGTCATTTCTGTGGTAAAGGTGGTAAGGTTGAGCTACCAAGTATGTTTGTCTTGCTTAGGATTATTTATGCAGTTACACCACAATGTCAACCATTGTGATGCAACAGCATTCTCGCCGGTGATAGTCCCTTGGCATTGGTAAATCGGCTGTTCCAGTCATTCAGTCGAGGCACGATGTATTTTATTACATATCATATATATTATATCATACTTCAGTCAAG